ATGTGTCTGTCTATTTATATTGTGTTTTTTTTTAGTGTGTGTGAAGAAACAGACAATAGTGAATGTGCTCACAAGCTGAAACTTCAAAGTATTATATGATTAAGTTTATTTATGTAATGTTGAAAAAGCTAAATTTGGGCTTAAGTGTTTCACATTCAGGATAAAAGACAGACAGCACTTCAGTGTTCTGCACTAATCTCAGAAGGGAAATACCAGTCTGGGAAATAATAAATTGTGAGTAGTTAAGTCTGAAAGGTCATTGGTGCAGATTTTTTTTTTCCTCCTTTTCAGATGCGACTAATTTTAGATTCAACCCAGAAGCAATTAACAACAGATTTATGCGAGAATCATTAAAAAATGTTTAGTACATAAACCCAGATTTATCGTGTGTGCGCCGAGATAGAGAGGCTAGTGTACGATGAAGATAGGCGTTTTATTTTAACGAAGATTCGCAAAGTTCAATAATATTCTGAATTATTTCTGTCATTTTATTTTCCAGTGGTTCCAAGTGGTTGCATGGACGCAGATTACTAATGACACTGGTTACTAAATAACTCTGATTTAAATTCCAACACCTTATATTTTCATCATCCAGTATTTGTTCTATATTTCTACGCATTTTGTTTTCATTGTGTGCTAAGGATGGTATATTGTAGATCAGGGGTGCCCAATCCTGGTACTCGAGAGCCCCTATCCAGCATGTTTTAGACGTTTCTCTCTTCCAACACACCTGATTCACATGATCAGGATCGTTATCAGGCTTCTGCAGAGCTTGATGATGAGCTGATCATTTGAATCAGGTGTGTTGGAAGAAGGGAAACATCTAAAACATGCTAGATAGGGGCTCTCGAGGACCAGGATTGAACACCCCTGTTGTAGATACTCAGGAAAACTAGGATGGCTTCTTCATCTACAGTGGACTCCAGTCAGAGAAGTCTTTGGTCTTTAAAACTGAACACAGTTATCCAGTATGTCTGAACAGTCATATGGTTTCCAAATGTGTCTGAAACACAGACTGCAGTGCCTTAAATTGCAGTCACATGATACTCTAAACTCACAACTATTAGCATTTCAACTTCAGAAATTACAACACCAAACTATCTACATAATTATTAAGCTTAGAAACCCTCAGACCAGCCCTTAACCATCAGCATTAACATATTAGCTCACAGAAATACGACTATAAACTGTCTGTTTAGCCGCTCTGTGCTGTCTTATTGTTACTTCCATCGTAATCCACACATTCGTTCGCTGTGATGTTTCCTCTCTGTCTCCCTCTCCCTCCTCCATTTTCCCCCCTGACATCTCCTCTCTCCTTTTTAGCAGCCTTTCCAAGCGTGGCTAACCTCCACATTGACTCAAATCTGCAAATGAGCCGGAAAAGGTGGCAATTCATAACGTCACGGCCTCGTCTCGCCCCACGTCAAGCATTTCGCAATAAGGCGGCCAAATAAGTCCTCGTAGCACCTTTCTCGCCACCTTTTCGTTTGCCAGCTGGTGCGAGGGCCGTGGGCAGCGTGCTTTATTTAGGCTTCTTAGTAGATTTTAAAACTTAATGGCTACAGCTGACGTGGAGGTAGATAAATGGTTTCCCAGCTCCTCGATATGGACTGATGAGGACAGGACGCCAAGCTAAGAGCTGTTTATCAGTCTCCGCTGTACACATAGTCCACAAGGACAGAAAGATACGTATGGACAGCCGGGATGAGGGAGCGCACACACACACACACACACACACACACACCAACACACACCAACACACACACGTACACACACTCTGATGCACAAAATTACTTTTCTTCTTCCAGCCGAAGGCTTTCAACTGCTGATCATTTAATGGCAGCTGGCAGGTACAGGCAGGATTTAGCTTCCCATCGCTGAAACTCTGTGATGGTTATATATTAGTACATGTAGAAAACGGCGAGTACAGCCCTGCACAAATATTACCAGCCTATGCATGGCGCGTAATCAACATTCATCTGTCAAAATATTGGCCGCTGGCTTACGAGCTAGTTGCAACTTGAACAGTTTCTTTTGCCGTTTTTATTCCCTGAATAAGCCGATACGATTAGAAAGATTTTATACATGTGTCATGTATGTTTTAGCCTTATGATGTCAGAAAAGAAGACTTAGTGAATGAGTAGGAGAGAGAGAATTGGTATACGAGTTTAACCAGGTGTTGCTGCACAACCTTTCACCTCTGACACCCTTCAGGTTCGGCCGCCATCTAGTTCAGCTCAAAAATGCAAACAGCTTTTTAAAAAATGGCTGTTCTGTTTGACCTTTAGCTTCTTTACAGAGAGGCTAACTGTCAAAACACTGTCTGTGTGTTGTGTGGAGTCTACTCCCTCCAGACTAGAACAACAGCTGTGACATGAAATCCATACCGACAGGCTTGTCTCATTATGTAAAGACCGATCCCGATAACAATAGTAGATGATGTAAGAACATCATTGTTTATCTGCAGCGTGATTATATACATAAAAGAAGTGAGTTGCCTGAAATGTTGCCGTACTTGTTTCGTTTCACCCCAACTACGTGCAACCCCTGTGGCCAGCCCGGAACAAGACGTCCCTTTTACTTTTCGCCCCGCGTAACCTGTTCTGCTGTAGTCCTAAGCCCTCGTTTGCATTCAGTGTCTGCAGAGAGCTCTTTGATGGTGGCAGCTGGAATTTGTTGGATGGGGGGAGGGAGGCCGAGTTGAAATAGCAAACCTCTGAGAACCACGACAGCGTGCAGGAAGATGAAGGGAGGGAAGGTGGGAAAGGCGCAACTGCGAAGCTGTGCGGCGGTGAATTACGAGGTTACAATGGCACCAAATGGAAAGTAATCAGAGTAATGGAGTATGCTCAATGTGTGAATAAAAGATGAGGTGTGCAGTCGGGTTGGGTTCGTTTGATAGGGAGTTTAATGTGGTATCTGTGGTTAGAGGTGTGTTCGTGGTGACTAGTTCTGTATGCTGGGCAGGTGTGTCTGTACGTGCAGATTATATATGTATGTATGTATGCACATGCTGGTAGCTTTTTAATCATTTAAGGTGAAATTTAGCAGGCCGAAGTGAGTCCGCATGGAGTTAATGGATGTCTGATGTTTAGAAAATCCAAAAACGATGACAACGTTCTGCTCCGGTCTGTCTTTAATTTCTTGCCTTGTGTTCCGAAGCGTGTTTATGTTCTGGGTCCACGTGTGATTTATAATGCAGCCAAGTGAGAAGAGGGGAGCCGGGGGAGAGCGGCTAGAGCAGAAATCAATGATACCTTCAGTCGCTTATTTATGGTTGCACCAAAACTCTGGGACTCGACGCTAGATGAGAAACCGGTCTCAGGCAGGAGGCGGTGGGAGTAGGGGGTGGGTTGTTGATGAGGAGTGACAAGGTGCCAGGGGAGAAGTGGAAAGGGCTGAGTCAGGAACCTTGCAGCGGATCAGAAATGGTATGAAACGTGTGTGGATAGATGTAAAGGTCATAAAGGCATGGTGACTGAAATTTGATGCAAGCTATCATTCAGCAAGTTGTTTTTTTTTTCTCTACTCTCATGTGCACACGCAGAGATTCACAGGCAGCAGAGGTCAGCGTTAGATTTGCACACTGTTAGACTGATCTCCTGCCAGCAGAAAGCGTTGCCCCTGCTGCGTATTTCATGGCTTTAATCAGACACAGATAGGTGATAACTGTCATCAGTGAATATATAAGGAAGGACTAACATACCTTGACCCAGTTGTCTACTTATGCTGAATTTGTATAGCAACTCTTTGGGTGTAAAATACGCCATGGACTGTATATTATGATGGGTGAACCTTCTGTGACGTTTTCACAGCGGTATTGAAGCTCACAGTGGTGGTTTCGGTTGCCAACATCTTGGCATTGCCTGGCTCCCTCCTGCTGCCAGCTAATCTGAAATTGAGTAAAGTCTGAGAGGAGCTGAGGCGGGCCTTGGACTGTCCTTGGACCATGCCCTTAATTATCCAGAACTTTAAGCCTTAATAGAATTTAAACAGATTAGTTATATAAAAGTGCAAACCTCATACAGTTGTCATGAAAAACAAGCTATACAGACCCAAACTGTTTCTGCTGTAAACATGTTCCTGGGCTGCAAGGTGGAGCGGTGGTTAGCACCGTTGCCTCGCAGCTAGAAGGTCGCCAGTTCGCGTCCCGGTGAGGACACCCGGGATGTTTCTGCGTGGAGTTTGCATGTTCTCCCCATGCATCGTGGGTTCTCTCCGGGTTCCTCCCACACAGTCCAGAAACATGTTGAGGTTAATTGGTGATTCTAAATTGTCCGTAGGTGTGAATGTGAGTGTGCTTGGTTGTCTGTCTCTAAGTGTGATAGACTGGTTACCTGTCCAGGTGATCCTGTCTTCACCCTGAGTCAGCTGGGATAAGCTCCAGCAGACCCATGACCCAAGTGAGGATTAATCAGTGTATAGATAATGGATGGATGGATGGAACATGTTCCTCAAGTGGCCATACGATCAACTGAAGTTTTTGGCACTTACCGTTGCCTCCCAGAGGTTGTCGCTTGGGGATACCATAAAATGTTAAAGAAAGCCTTCAGTGAGAACACCCAACCACACCTACCTTAACAGTTTCTTTTTACACTTCTGTGTTGGCTTCATTTTTCAGCCCCAGAGGTTTGCCTCTTGGATTACACATAATGTCCTGAACGCACAAGTAAAACGTTTTATTGACAGTCTTTTTGTTCCTCAAGGGCGGATGCTAAACATTAGGTGCTGTTATTGAACTGTGATGTTACCTAACCATTGAATTTTTCCTCACTCTTAATGTTAACAATCAATTTCCTATAACTTACTTGAGTCTGCTGCGAAAAAAAATCACTGTGTTGATTAGCGGAGGTCGTTGTTTAAGGGGGGGTTGGGCTGAGGAATTTAACCCCTACAGAGGATGGTAAATGTCAGTAAAGGTGACTGATCAGCCTAATGCACTCTGAGGTGTTCTGCTTTGCTTTATCTCTAATCTTTACTCCTCTGTCGCTGTCTTTCAGCTCCCCTTGAGCCTCATTTCACAGAGTGCATATCAAGGGACCAGGAGACATTCCGCTGCTGGTGGAGTCCAGGCACCTTCCACAACCTGTCCTCCCCCGGAGCCCTCCGAGTCTTCTACCTTAAGAAGGAGTGAGTGTAATCGCCACGTTGCCGGCTTCACTCTGAAAAGTCCGAGTAAATTGCACGCCTTGTGCTGCACTTAATGGGAGCACTATGTTATGTGTGCATATGTGAGTCAGACTAAAACACTGCCGACTTCACCACGTGACAAGAATTTCTTCCTTTGCTTCTTTTTTTTTTTCTTTCTTCCGTCATTTTTTCACACGTCCAGGTCTCCCACCAGTGAATGGAAGGAGTGTCCCGAGTATATCCATTCAAATAGGGAGTGCTTCTTTGACGTAAACCACACGTCCGTTTGGATCCCCTACTGCATGCAGCTCCGCGGCCAGAACAACGTCACCTATTTCAACGAAGACGACTGTTTCACTGTGGAGAATATCGGTTAGTAGCCAGGATTTGTGCACATATCCTGGTTTTTACTATACATCCTGTGAACAACATTGATGAAACATGCTCTAGCACAATTTCCCCTTCGTATTTAAAAGCTGCAAGCCTGATATTAAAAGATTTTTACTGAGCTTGTTCAGTGCATAGTTAATCACACTTCTGCTGGACTGCAGAAAATGATATTGCCAGCGTTATAGATTACCACTGCAGGGCTTTCAGGAAATGGTACTTGTGTTTGCATATCAGCTAAACCAGCAAATGTCACATGCTTGTCAATATCACAGCAAGTGTCAGATACAGTGTTTACATGGCAAATGTTTTGATGTCTGACAGTCTTTATCTAAGCAAGACTGTAAAAGATGCTGATAAATACTGTTTCATCACGTGCCCATGTCATACGTTGGCTACTCCATGGAAAAAATCTTTGTTTACGAGGTCTTTTCATGTGTGTAAATTGATTGTCAGCTTGTTTTTACAGATACCATCTGGATTTTGTCTTCTTAGCCACTTAACCTATAGTAGGCGTGCAGGGCATGACTGTTGGTTGCTCAGTCTGTTTCTTTTTGTGCAACGCTAGCTCCAGAGCAAAATATTACACCGGCTGCTTGCTGCATCTCCAGGATGCTGATGTTGTTGGCCCTCGGATGATTAATCCTAGTGTTTTTGATTACTCGATTGGCTGTATGTCTCGTGCTACCATCAGGAAAAAGTTTGTACACTCAAAGAATAAATTTGCGAAACCTGTTAATGCAACCCAGAGGATGGAGCCTTTCCAGTTATGATACTTGCTTATTCCATTTTGCACGAGTCTCAGGCTGAAATATCAACGTTCTACACAAACTATTATTTAATCTAAGCTGGGTATGAGTTGTTTCTAATGTTCGGCTCCTCCTCTCATGCCCCTGTCAAGACATTGTTTTTACATTGTTAACCTTATGGCTGCAAAGGCCAAGACAAGCCAAGTCGTAAACATGTTGGTGCAATGAAAATGAAAGCACATGTTATGTATTTTATTTCACCAGTCTTCAAGTGAAAAGACGTCACTAGCTGTGTGTTTTCATTGTGTTCACATCTGGACTTTTGCCTTTCTCCCAACAGTGCGTCCTGACCCACCAGTGTCTCTAAACTGGACCTTGTTGAACATAAGTCCCTCTGGCCTCAGTTATGATGTCATGGTCAACTGGGAGCCTCCACCCTCTGCAGACGTTGGGGCAGGCTGGATGCGAATCGAGTACGAGATCCAGTACAGAGAGAGAAATTCCACGAACTGGGAAGCGGTGAGTCCTCACTCTGAACTTTCTCTTTAAGTCCCCCTCTTCCACCTTTGAGTTTAAGCACATAATTACTCGTGCTGACAGATGTGAAAACCTACCTTAAAACTTTACAAACCGGTTCTCTGCGCATGCACAAGCTCACGCAAATAAAACCGAGCATGCATCCACTTAAAAGTAAATTGTAGGTAGGTCATAGAGGCAGAGTGTCGTGTTTCCCTTCCCCTCCCCCCTGAACTCTTGTGGCTAAAATGCAGTATAGCTTTGTTGGCAAGGCTGTGGAAGCCAGAGCAAAGCCCTCTGAGAAAACACAGCCTCTCTGAAGGAAGAGAGGGGAGGGATCTGTAGGTCAGAGGCCATGGGACCTTGTACAGGCTCATATTCATTACCTCCTGGCTAGCCAGCCTGACAAATTCAGCCTTGGAAACCGTTTTAGACCCTCTATTATAATAGCATGTACTCTATCCAATGTATCTGAAATGCTACAACAATTTTACCTTTGGAAAGGTCATAGTTTCAGTTACCAAAAATAAGCGTGGACTTCCTGACACCCTGTCGAGCTTCAGTCAGCCTCAATGTTGGTGTTGGAGTCATTTCTGCAATGCTAACTGCATCATTGTCACGCTTTCTGTGTCTATTTTGTAAATTTCAGTTGGAGATCCAGCCGCACACTCAGCAGACAATCTTCGGTCTGCACATAGGAAAAGAGTACGAAGTGCACATCCGCTGCAGGATGCAGGCCTTCGTTAAGTTTGGCGAGTTCAGCGACTCCGTCTTCATTCAAGTGACTGAGATTCCTACCAAAGGTGAGATAATGGTGGGGCAATAAAGGTCTTGGTGAGATGCATGAAATAATAATAATGGTCCTACCCCTGTTCAGTTTTAGACCGTGAGATTGAACTACTTGGAACACTGTAGCTGTGATGAAGCTGATGATGATGGCTCCTGTTTCGTTTTATTTTTCAGAGTCCACTATCCCTCTCACTCTGGTTCTTGTTTTTGGGATTCTGGGGATCCTCATACTCATCATGCTGATTGTCGTCTCTCAGCAGCACAGGTAGGACCAGTCACTCTGGCTCTCTGTCATGTGTTTACCTGAGCTGTGTCTAAAACATACGAGCTCTAAGATACCTGAGAAACCAGCACTCAAGTACAAACATGCGTTGTCTGTGTCATGGTCTGCTGCAGATTGATGATGGTTCTGTTGCCACCCGTTCCTGCACCCAAAATCAAAGGCATCGATTCAGAGCTGTTAAAGGTACGTTTATTTCTGAGCTGGTCTGTGGTGTTTCTCATATGAACATACGTGTTAGTCAAGGCTAACACGCAACAAGACGTTGCAGTCGACCAAAGAGCTTTACATCATTCATTTATGTCACAAAGCAAACACCGGCTTACGCTGTAGATTTTAATTAAATATGTTTTCTCTCTCAGTTGGGTTGTAATGCATATGTCACGCTGAATAGAATATTGAAATGTAAATGAAGACGAGCGAAACCGTAAACATCAATAGTTCACAGCAGATAACGCAGGCGATTGTGCGCGCAGTGTTTATTCAATAACGCGATTATATAAACTATTGTGTAACCGCAGTTTTTTTTTAATTACATTTCCATTGTATTGTTGATCAAAAACAGACCTCTGTGTGTCAACGCGGCTCATTTGGTTGAGGCATGTTAGGCCACGTAATCATCACACCACCCACTGCTCCTCTCTCCCCCCGCCGTCGTCGTTGTCTTGTTTGTCATCTGTGTCAACTGTCAAATTAATGCAAAACAAAAACGTCCATAAATAACAAGCAGACAAAGACAGGAGGACCGCTGAAGGCCACTAAGATGTGAAGAGGGTCTTGGTTCAGCATTGTGTAGTGGGTGTTTTATTGCCGCGTGATGCTTTTAAAATCCTTAGAAAACCGCCTGACCCATGAACCTTTAGAAAAAAAAACCAGGGTGGATAAATGAAACGCATTAGACAAAGGTGGCAAAGGTGCTGAGTTTGCATCTGATACGTTTATATTTTTACACAATGACTCATAAGTCTAAACACATAGAGGTTTTATTATTATTGATTGTTTTATTATGTTCTTTAGAGGAATAGTTCCTGCATCGTAATTGCTTCGCTCACTTTGTTTGTGCAGAAGGGGAAGCTGGACGAGCTGAACTTCATCCTGACTGGTGGAGGTATGGGCGGCCTGCCCACGTACGCACCGGATTTCTACCAAGACGAGCCGTGGGTGGAGTTCATCGAGGTGGATGCGGACGACGGAGACAGCGGAGGGAAGGAGGACAACCGGGGCTCGGACACCCAGAGGCTCCTGGGTCTGCCCCATCCCGTCAGCCACCGCATGAACATGGGCTGCTCCAACGCCATCAGGTGCGGCTCAGATTCTCATCTTAAGCCTTTGTTTTCATGCTCACCAAATGGCTCTGCAAAAATGAATACCTTCTCCTTTCTTTTTCTTCTCCTAAAGCTTCCCGGATGACGACTCAGGCCGGGCCAGCTGCTACGACGCAGATCTGCCCGAGCAGGACACGCTGATGCTGATGGCCACCCTTCTGCCGGGTCAACCCGAGGACGAAGAAGCCTCCCTCGATGTTGAAGAACGAGCCTCGGAGAGAAGCGAAAGGTCCCTCGTCCCAACCCAAACTGGAGGGCCCCAGACTTGGGTCAACACAGACTTCTACGCTCAGGTCAGCAATGTCATGCCCTCTGGCGGTGTGGTGCTGTCTCCCGGCCAGCAGCTCCGGATCCAGGAGAGCACCTCGGCCACGGAGGACGAACCACACAAGGGAAAGGAGGGCGAGGACGGCGACGAGACCGAGGAGCTGAAGCAAAAAGAGCTGCAGTTCCAGCTGTTAGTGGTGGATCCAGAGGGAAACGGCTACACCACCGAGAGCAACGTCCGACAGATCAGCACTCCCCCCAGCTCTCCCGCGCCCGGCGAGGGCTACCAAACCATCCACCCTCAGCCGGTGGAGACCAAACCTGCGGCGACGGCAGAGGATAATCAGTCACCGTACATTCTTCCTGACTCTCCCCAGTCCCAGTTCTTTGCCCCCGTTGCAGACTATACCGTGGTGCAGGAGTTGGACAGTCATCACAGCCTGCTCCTCAACCCGCCTCCCCGCCAGTCGCCCCCTCCCTGCCTGCCACAGCACCCGCTCAAAGCCCCCATGCCGGTGGGCTACATTACCCCCGACCTGCTGGGGAACCTCTCACCGTGAAGTGACAATGCCCGCAGAGGCTGATCGACCAGGAAGTCACCCCCTACCTGATTCCTGCTGGAAACCAAATAACTTGAGCGTTGACGAGCGTGTACAGGTGTCTTGTTTTCAGAGGCTGCTGCGAGGGAGGCGCGAGAAGCTGCGAGCTATACTCTTTAACTGTTCTGCTAAATCAGTTAATTTGACGCAGAGGCGGCCAAAAGTCAACATCACAAACCAAATGCACAGTTTGCTCTTTTCGTCAACATCCACGTATGATTGTAACGAGTCAAACAAAACAAAAACAAAACACCTTGTCCGCGCTTACCTGCCTTAGATCGCATTACATCTCCGGCTGATGTCGTTTGGAGCGACGGCATTGTTGAAGTCTTAATCTTACAGAATGATTTCGGTGTGCGATTGATGGAGGGAAGCACATTCTAGTCACGCCACACAGAGAAGTCGTTGATACCGTTTGCGCCGCAGAGGTTTTATATTCTTACGTTTCTTATCTCATCGTGTCATCTAATTAGTAACTCACTTTCGCTAGAGATGTATTTTTATATAAAAACCCAACCTAATACACTGTTAAACACAGCTATGCAGATTTACCTTGCATTCCTGGCTTTTCATTTTGTCTACACGTAAGATGTTCATATTTTTATGAATGAACTGGCCAAATTTAGATTATATGATGTCAAGATATTTTTATTCTTATCGCTACAACTTTAATAGAAGAAATGCTTTCACCAACTGAATGTACACACAAATAGTCAGGGCAACCAGAAAGCAAAGTCAGAAGAGTCTGCGTTATATTATCACGATTATAACTCTTTCTTTCTGTGGGGAATGATGACAGGCAGTTTGGCTAAATGAAGGAAATGGCTAACTGAAGTGGACATTAAAACAAACAGAAAGAAAAGACAGATAAAAGGGAAATAATAATAAAAAAAACTTGATTAATTAATTCCCTGATTAAACTGTTGCAGTGTGGAATTTTCCTCTTAACCTGAGGTTATTCATTTCCATTTTTATTTTAACAACAACACAGAGAACGTATGTTATTTGCAGCAGTGAAGTGCAGCTCTTTAGTACAAGGACGGATCCATTCAGATGAACTCGCATACGGGAGCCGCTCTGTACAAACCGTGCTGTGCAACACGGAGCATCACCAAGTGCCTTGCTCGAGGGCACGTTGATGTGGTTATTTAGCAAGAGGAAAGGGACACACACACACACACATATATATATAGCAGACTCCAGGTGTTGCATTACATTAAACAGGCTCCCCTTTACAACCAGCACCCACTCATAATCTGTTCGACCTGAACTATCGAGCTTTCTGCTTGGGGATTGTATTCTTCTCACGTTGTATTGTTACTGCAGGGACAGCAACTGGAACAAGTTGAAAGACTGTGAAAGTATGTAATAGATGTAATTAGCTAACACTTTATACTTATCATCTGCCAAGTACACCATGTTAACAGCCTGTGCCTATGGTAGTGTAATTAGCTGGCCATTCCTGTGCTATGGTACTACGCTTGCATAATTTGTACATTTATGCATCGCTATGTACAGACACGTACTGCTATGTGCAAATGGATTTGTGGACATTTCTGTGCACAGATTCGCTGATTAAAAAATCTGGTAACATGCATGCATGCATGCAGATATACACACACGACACGTAAAAAGATTGCCTTAATTATATATTTCATTTTGCCTTCCTGAAGTGGTCAGGAAAATTATGAGCTGAAAATTGTTCAGCACCAAACCATAATTTGCATGTTTCAGTCACGCTCATAAAACTGACAACAATTTCAAACCAGAAACGTTTATCAGGGCGAGTAGTGGAAGTCCTAGAGTTTGGAGTTCAGGTCTGACAGGGCTACATCCAGACAGGTACGTAGACGTTTCCCCACAAACAGCTGATTCAGATACAGCAGGCAACATGGGTGTAATTAGGCAGGGATCCTTTATGAGTGCGTCCAACAACTTTGCATAGAAATATAAAATTCAGGGCATTATGTTGGCAGAATTGTTTTGCTTAATCGATTATTTAGCCGCATTAGCTGATAGTGTAGGCTTGTCGTTGGTTCATGGACGTTGTAGCCTTTTATATAATGGTCTGTGTGAGATAGCCGAGGAGACCTTTTGTAAAGGTTCTGGCCTCCTCGTGTGTTTTCATCCTATGAATTCTATCATGAAGACTTGACAATATGCGCGTCACAAAGACAACAGCATAGCACGCTGTGTATATAAGCAGTCCGAACATAGAGCTTGTCTTATATGCATGGTTTTGTGATACAACACAATGAGTTTTCATTTTCAACAAGTCTATGAATGAATCCAAGGCATTGTTATTGCGTAACATCCACGCAACCTCCAAATGAGCACTTCTTGCCATAAACAAAATATGCGCAAAGGAAACGTATCCAGCCTTTGAATTGTGTTGTTTTGGACTCATCCTGCAGATATGTAGGCTAATGACTTGGATATCTTTTTGTATCAGACAATCCCATAACAAAGAGAGACAAAAGCAAGAGCCATAACAAGACAGTTTTGAAAAATGTGAATCTGATAAATGTGTGCCATTTCTCTCTTTCTGTCTCTCTCTCTTTGAAAAGAACTCAGTGTTCTGTTGTTGCTGCCTAGTTGGGATGAAACCAGCAACTCAGTGCTGTTGCAGAAATGTCTTAATATATTTACTAGTGCTGTAAAAATTTACAAGTATATATTTTTATGTCATTAATGTTACTAGTCACGATATATTGCTGCTCGGTACATGTATTTTTCCTACATTCAGCCTTACCTGTGTTGGGAAGGGGCTCAGCGGAGAGGGGTGCACCGGTCGCTGTATTGTGTACAATCGTAAAGTGTTTTGTGATAAAAACTTGCAAAATTGGATGAGACCAATATCTGAGAATGGTCTGCGGCCTGAAGGTATGATTCGGTTTGGTTACGCGTAGCATTACGGTGGGACTGTCGACAGCGTTCATACCTATCAGATACCCAGAAGGTGCTCTGTGTTCATGAAGGAGGGTCAGATAACGGACTGTCGAGGTTCAGTTTCATTCGTGCCATGGTGATCGTGAATGTGTGCAAACTGGAATATGCAATGCAATTACATAACTAAGGAAAAGTTGGAAAAAAAAAAAAAGTTTTTACAGTGAGATCGATAAATTGGGTGGTGCTTTTTTTTTTTCTTTTTTTTTTCAAGCTTACTGTACAGATGTTTACTACATTATTTTGTTTTTTTTCCAGTTCACGATGCGCTCGTTCAAAATGTAGTGTAAAAAAAAAAAGAAAAAGAAAAAATAGCAAGTGTTATTTCAAGCTTATAAATGTGACAGACACTTTAGAGGAAGCACTTTGTACACACACACATATATATATATATGTATATATATATATCTGATGTTTAAAACAGTATTCAGATTTTGTATCTCATCTAAATCAAACGTGTGAATTACTTGTTACTATAAAACAGCTTGATGTTTTGTAGTCCGCACAATAATCTGACGGCGAGGAACCTTCGATATCAATAAGCTTCGGTTTTTGTTCTTACAGAGTTTTATGTTTATAGAACGTATTTTACACTAACAGATTGCTAGGATGATGTACTGTAATGGAGTATTTCATATTTGCTATAAGATTTATGGATAGATAAAAGCAGATAGATCTTTTATGAAGTCATATCAAACTATAGGCAGAGTGTACGCAGTTACGCTGTAACTCGACGCTCTTTATTTTTCTCCCACTATGTGATTTCAGCATTTCGTTATTGAAGAAGTGCATTTTTTTGACGGGGCTCAGATATTTTATAATGATGCGTTTTGGCCCTCCAGCCTCTTCGGGTTTTTTGCATCCAGGGTGGCTTTTGTCGCTCTATTAGGTCTGGAAGTAATCATGCTGGAATTTGTGCTGGTTGTTGCTCTTTATCAAACAAAGAGCACCGAGCTGCACATTTTTCAGCTAGTTAGGGGAATGGTTTAATTCTTGACTTGAGTACAGCGGTATACAGTTTTTTTTTGTTTGTTTGTTTTTTTTGACATTTAGTGGCTCCACTCTATATTTCTGTCCATGTGTTATTTATTTGTCTGTGCAGAGCCCCTTAAAACACCCTCCCTCCTCACTTTATCACGGTTAATGTCATCTCTGCCGTGTGTCAACCAGGCTCGTAAAAAACTGGAAATAGTAGACGTGCAACACTTGGAAACATCTGCATTGTGATCTCAAGTGTGAAAAAAAAAAAATGCCATGATTTAGCAGTTTGTTAATATGACTCCATATTTTCGTGCCACAATTTTCAGCCCCCCGGAGCCACTGTCCTTGTCTGTCGGCTGCTGTTTTACTCAGGGTCAAGAACTGTTGTTGATCTTTTGATGATTTGATATTGTTCTCTTACCAATTGAGCCTTTCTGGTGTTGTATGTGTGATCAATAAGCTCTCGACAAGTTAGACAATAAATATACAGCATCTTGTGCATCATTTTGTGTTTTTTTTTTTTGTCACACACAAAGCATTCTAAGGAGCCATGTGTTGTTGTCCTGGGCTTCAATAAATCTCAACGCTCCCTCCAATTTGTATACCGTAAAACAGACCCTTTTATTTGATTTTCAACTAATCTAATGTTAGTGTTGGAAATGCAAGAGTAAACTAAACGAATTAGATTTCGCAGGGTTATCAAGATCTTATTACTCACAATTCACCGCAGCACTTTATCATGGGTTCCATTCAAATTGAAAACCAGCCACACGCTTCACATGACCTCCCGAAAACTCACTTCCAGCTGTGTCGTTACCAGCGCACGAGCAGCACAATAAAGGTCAGCTCAGATCAGCACTCGGTGATAGAAGGGGGGACGTTAATTAAAGAAAATACACAACCCACTGTGGTCAGAGAGTTAAAATGCAAATGCGTGTGTGTGTGTGTGTGTTGTCTGAAAGGAGAGAGCGGAAAATAGGAATTACATGCATGTCTGTGCGGCTGGTCGGAGGGCGGAGAATGCGTACTTGTTGTTTGCGAGCAACACAGAGGAACTTTGTGCGAACGAGTTCACAAGTGTGTGATTCTCCCCATCGCTGCTGGAACAAGTGGAGGGAGGGAGGTGGGGAGGGAGACGGCCGCAGAAACAGTTGTGCATCGAGGGGAAAGCATATCGGACAATTAAGACGGAGGCTGTGTACTGCGCTGCTCTGTGTGGGGCTGATTGAATCAGAGAGACAGCCACTCACAGCTCTTTGTCTCAGGACATTGCAGGTAATTACCCATAAGTCACTGTTCCCCTGTATTGGATCTTCAGCCCAATTACGCCCACACAAGCAGTCCACCTCAGCCTCATTTATTACCTCCGGTTGCTTGTTGACCTTTTCAGACACACAGTCCAACAGGCAATTCAGCTAAATAAAACCAAGCAGAGGGTGTTGCACCTTGAAGACAATTTGAGACAATTTCATAGATTCTCAGCAGCACGTTGACGTCTTTGCACAAGCGTTAGCGTAGAAAAATGAGCGTGAGACATTCGTTAATGCATCCAATGGCAGTCTAAATACAGAAAGATAAACAATATCACACCTACCAGCTAAACTGAGAGGTTTTTAGTAGAATACAGATTATTCTCTCGTTGCGTTTTCTGTTGTTCTTCCATCTGTCATCAGTGTAATCAAAATAGACATACACAGTGAAGGAACCATATTAAGCATTTTCTGAAATGATAAGAGGTTGTTTTTACCCTCTATGGATGCCTACTGCAGATATTTTACACTGGCATTGGGCATGTGATGTAGGTTTCACTCATGTACATGCAAAATCCGACCAGTTTGAACCACTGGATTTTAAAAATTACAGGAAAAATCTGGCTAATATGCACAATCCTGGACCATGAAACAGTCCCTTACAAATGAAAAACAACTCTATTTGAAGCTTATTTGGATGCAAAAGTCTGTATCAGATCAGTGAAGAGGACCAGCTCCATCAGTATACTCATCAGTTAGGTGTTGAGATTGTAGCGGTGGTTTATTGTGTAGTCCATTATTGCCACCTGCTGACAAATATTGGGCAAAGCAGCACCTTTCACATAAATCTCTGTTACAGGGAGAGCTGTTTTATATTTGCACATCAAGTAAATAAAAATGCATTTGGCCACTATATTGTGGGTAATTTGATCCCTCTGCTGTGCTTAAGTTGTATTTTTCCAACAGTATGGTCGCCAAATACCACCAAAAAACCACTCCCCCTGTCACAAATGATCTGTGATACAATCCCGCTTCTTCTTACACAGCCACATTTAACTTTTTCAGAATGTCAACTCGTATGCCCTGTTGCGACAATAACAAACACACAAACTAAAAAAGTAACTCAACCATCTTTATTCAACTTTCAATTTCCACGTCTGACAGTCTGAACACAATACGACTCTCTGTACAAGCATCAGCTTTTCGTGGTGACTCTTGTTTTCCCACAGAAACCGTCATTAAGTACAGAGCGTATTCCATCAATCGTTCATTACTTCACTCTCATGTTCCTTTTCTTTCTTCCTTAACAATAGAGCCTTGTTTTTTTGTGTGTTTTATTCTATAAATGTATGCGATTTGCAGCTTACACAGCAAGTTTAGTAAATGCAACAAAAAAAAAAAGGAATGCCAAATACCAAATGCCAAAAATGTGTTTGGTTTTTTTAAAAAGGGAAAAAAAGATAAACCTGAGATATGTTAAAGCTCGTGCACTTCATCAGCAAGTACAAAACAAAAAAGAAAGCTATCTGTGCTGTTATATGTGCTCAAGAGTGACGATCAATCGCATGCAGACAAACATGCTTTATGCTGTTTTAGGCTGGTTTAAAGCTTCTTTAGCTTCAGTGCTAATAAAAGATTTCTGGTAAGTAACTAGTTCACAATGTCTGATATACTGCAAAAGTCTCTTCTCTTACTCTTCTTAAATGCTTTATTTCCTTGCAGACTTTATGTCATTCTTTATTCTGATCTTTAAAATGCTTCAGTGGTTCATCATGTTCTTGAACTACCTTCCCCTCTCTCTCCAGCCTGACATCAAACAGACACCACTAGAGCATAGTTTCTGCGCCTGTCTTCATAAAGGATGGAGAGAACAAAATGGAGACGACAGTTTATGGACATGACAACCACATTCATCCTGAGACAGGATGAGGGGCAACCTACTGACAGACACCCAGACACAAGGCCAATATTCTATATTTGTTAAAGTACAATCAAATTATTTGCATAATAAAGTAGCTTTACATGTTTTGGTTGATCTGTTTTTTTGTGGTATGTTATCTTTAATCTGTGTTACTGGACTGTTCCCCTTTCCTACATCCCTGCTGTCAGGATTGCCTCCTCTCTGTCCCAGGGTAATACTTGTTGGTAAAAAGAGCACTTGGCTCCGGTGTTGGTGGCTGGTGTTAATATGAGGGTTAATTTGAGCAGCTTACAGCTGCTGTCATCCTCAGCTCACAACACCTGGAGGTCAGGCTCATTGGGCTGGCTGCGGCTGCTGTCAGGCAGCATGAGGCAAGCGTCACTGTCAGGTCTCCCTAACATTATTGACTGCATCGCCAATCAGTCCGTGTCACTGTCAGGAGGCTGGCAGCGCCTCATCACAGTGTCAGAGACCAACCGGCTGCTCACTCCCTGCATCGCCAAACAGCCTGCGTCAGTGTCAGCATCAGCTGGCTTTGGGAGAGGCGTCATTGTCAGAGCCTGCTGCCCACTGTCAGCTGTGCTTTGACTTTCACCTCACCTTCTCTGGTGTTCAAGGCGCTGCATGGGCTCCATGAGCATCGTGCGACATCTGTTGTGTGTGCACTGCTTGCTGTACCTGCCCTAAATCAAAATGATGCTGCATCTGAGACACCCTACCATCTTGCTCATGACCCTGTACCTCAACAATCTGCTGACCGTGACTTTGTGCTTGGTCAGAACCATGGCCAGCACCGTGGTGTCCATGGTGGTGGCCATGGTGTTGGCCATGGTTGTGATCATGGGCTTGGTCTAAGCCATGATCAACTCCATGGTCACCATGGCCATGACCATGGTGATGTCCATGATGGTGACCATGATGGTGACCGTGTCCAGTGTCGTGCTCTACAGCTGGAGAACCAACTGCACCAGGCTGTGCATCTGCTTTTTCTTTGCACTCCTCTGGGATCTCAGCACTCTGTGGGAAAATTGAAACAGAGTCAAAAAAGATTTCAGTGAATTAACTAATAATTTATTAAATGTGTTACCAACATATTTTGCTGCGATTTATGTTTGTTTAAATTAATGTTATGTGTAGTCTCTACCTCATACACGCAGTCTCCACATGTGCGTTTGCAGTACGCATCTTTGATTGCACCCTCAATATGGCCCTGTCCAATGATGGAGTATGGAAGCGAGATGTGATGGGTGAGACGGCCACATCTGATGGCAAAGGGACAGAAAAGCATTGTTACGGTAAGTATGGATGGCAACTAGTTGTCAATATAAATGAAAAACAAAAAGGCTTAAAAAAGGTGCACAAGACATCCTGTTCATGTGACAGACCTGTCGTAAATGAGGAAGTCATCTTTGTCTCCGCCCAGTGTCTGCCAAACATCAGGCTGCTGCTCTTCCTGTTTGTAGAGTGTGATGTTCACTGAAAGCCTCTGCGCCATCATGGGGTGCAGGCGTTGTGCTTGCTCCCCATGGTGGTTCACAACCATGTAAACCACATCTTTCAGACCTTCACTCTCCATCTTCTGGTGCAGGCCATCCATTCTGCTCAAAAGAGGACCATCGGAGACCATGAGTTTCCAAATTGGGGTTAAAAGGAACAAAGCTGCTGCTTGTTTTAAAGAAAAAAAACGATGAATAGTTGCACAAGGAGAACAAGTCTGAACCTGCTGTACCTTGCAGCCAACCTCATTTTAATATATTTTGTGTAACACTTGCTGACTAATGAATTTTGTGCTTTGCAACAGTTTCAGGACTCCTGGTTTTCTTTTCTTTCTTTTTTTTGTTTTTAACCTGACTGGATTACAGTGCAGAGCAAGAGGTCAACTCATATGCTGGTTGTTATGTCGTGGCCACATACCTGGAAGCCTGCACCAAGCAGAACAGTCAGCTTGCCTGCAGAAGAGCCACCACCGTCACCCGGCCCATTGACCCCTTCATGGGCTCCACCTCCCCTATCCTCCAGGCCGGGGGCAGCTGACAGCGAGGCCCACCCCCCTCACTCTCTGCCCCGCCCCCGTGGAGCAGGCAGAGAGTGAGGAGCAAGCCGAGGCACGCCCACATCCCTGTGGTGCCTCCTCACTCCCCCAGTCTGCTCAGGAACAGGACGCGAGGGTGGGAGGAGGAGAGAGAGGTGAAAGAAATTGGTCAAACATGGCCAGACAAAAGTGGCTCAATTGTACAAAAGGTCAGACAAGGGTTATCGCATTTACATTCCCGAAATCGTCCTAGGTGCTCTGAGAAACTGTTACAGCTTTCCACTCAGGTGCCATATTGACACGATGTAGGTACACAAGGGAAAGTGCGCAACTAGCCGAGTGAAGGAAGCAGTTTATATCTGAAGTTCCCTAATTTGTGCTGGTGTTATTTTAATACAAATTTAAGCACACTAATAGAGTAAAGCAAAGGAAATGCATAAAGTTGAGCAGAATGCACGCCTGAAAGCTGAAAATAAAAGTTTGAACATTTCAGCAGTGTTTTACTTCATGCATTGCAGAAAAGTTAGATAATGTAGAAAATGGTTCACTGGCTGACTCAAGTTGCACAATTAAAACATTTGCATTGATCAGATATACTGTATGGCACAATAAACCTATCGTCTTAGTAGTTATGTTTTTCTTTTGTTTGTTTTCATCAAAGCTGTTAAATGTCACCTTATGGATCTTTACTTCATTTTTAACTACTTGCTAAAATGCAATAACATTTTGTCACTTACCCTTTAGGTTAAAAAGTTTCCCTCTCTCTGTTCAGCTCTGCGTTGCTGCAAGTCCTCGAACAAAAACAAGCCTCTTCCTCCACTGCTCCCCCCTTTTATACTCTGCCTGTTGTTTTTCTGACAGGAAGGAGGACAAAGTTCAGTTGCAGCTGTATGCTGATGCCAGACTTTTCTCAACTTAAAAAAAAGTCAGTGCAAGAAATCCAGTTCCAAATCCAAATTTCACAGGAAAAACAAGTTGTAATGGAAGATGTTTTTTTTTGTAGCAACTGGCACATCTTCAGTTGAACTGAGTAAGGACAAAGAGGAGCTTCTGTATCAATGATGTGTGGAGATAATTTATGCATTTGCCTTGTAAATCCCATTGCTTGCCTTTATATTTAACCAAGTGTATAATAGAGGTGCATTGTGAATCTCCAAGAGCAAGGAAAAACATTGTGCAATTCTGTTTCTTACTTTCTGCCCAGGGAGGGGAAATGAAAAAGGACAGAGGGCGGGCCTCGGGACGGTGTCCAGCATGTTTCTGCAAAGTTCAGATAAACACAGATAGAAAAGACTAATGCAGTTTGCACAAGTTAGCAATCCTGTTAAAGAATACTTTAATTTGATCTGCAGCAATAGTAAATGTATGATAGCATTAACAGGGTGTTATGTGGTACTTAATATGGAATATCATCAGTGAGCAAACTTTGTTGTTGGAGTTCAGGGCAGGTCAGGTGGAGGACAGGTCCTTTAAAAAGAGGAATTGAGATCACTCAAGCAGCAGGAAAACAAAATGATAAACAGCATACTGCAGAGATTTAGCAGGGACTAAGATTCATAAAGGAGCTCAATGAAAAAAACATCCATCAGTTTTAGGTGTTTTACCAAATTATCCTGAGACAGACAAGTCATGTTAAGAATGATTACCCTGGTTGAGGTTTTGGTTCGGTTACTGAGTAACAGAGCACTAAAGGGACAGTAAGACGACAATCTGTGTGACATCTTCAGTTAAATTATATAAAATAGCTTTAAACAGCATCAAAGTCCAAAGTGAAAGGTGGCGTTGTCTTGTCTGCAGATGCAGGTCATACAGTTGAGAGTGGCAGGAGCATCATGATGAGACGAGTGAGGTCAAAAGTCTGTGCAGGTTTGACTGGGCAGGCACATATCAGTGAGAATGTGGTTTAACAATGTATGTCAGTGCCGCGCACACACATACGCAATAGTGTGATTGTAAGGTGTTATCTGAAAGTATGTCGAGCAGTAAATGTGATAGACGTGATAACCTTTCCAACATCAATGCGATAACCTTGCAGTAAGGCCTACATTGCGTCTTGGAAATGAACACTCCTTGTTGATCTCCATTGTGAGATTAGGACTATATTTTTGCAATATTGTTGGATTGCATTTAAGTATGTAGATGCTGTTCTTGCATTGTCCCATCACCCTGTCTATCTATACAAATTCACATTTGCATGTTCAAATAATGATTTGTTTCATACAGTACTCAAAGTGTGACAGTTCATTCCCTGCTTCATGTCCCAATTCAAGGAGTTCTACTAGAAACACTCAATACTGGAGCAACATCTGTTGGCCTGGTGTTGCTCTCAGGGACATAGTGGCATCAATTCTTCAAATGATCTCTCATGTAAGAATTTAACAATAACTAAAATCATATCCAGCCACACAGGAGAGCAAAAACACACACGGAGACTGTGGTGTTGTTGGTATGGCCGCAAACATGCATCAGTGCACACAGTGACTGTGTTCACCAGTGTCTCTGAAAACCACCTGATCAGTGCACTGAGATGTGACAACTTCAGTGCAACTCTCCGCTGATACAGCACAACATGACATGTGACAGTGTGTCCTGCCAGACCTATCTTATTCTGTGACCCAGTGTTACTCATTTACAAAGTCTGGCACTGCGGTAGATGTCCTTATTCAGACACAATGACATCGTTAGGTACGAGGAGATCTGAACTGACAATAAAATGCACACTTAACTATGCCAAATAAAACATGTAAAATGTGATACAGGTGCGATATCTTGGAAACCTTTGATACATTGAGATAGATGACACTTGGGTAACACTTTGCTTTTCAGTGTGGTGCAACTGACAAGAATGATCATGCACCATCTTGTCAGAAAGTATTCAGACTTTTTCTGCACTTTATTGTATCATAGATTTTATTTCAAATAAATAAAATTGGCCAACAAAACAACTAAAACAAGTAAAAACATGTTTTTTGCTTTGACACTCAAGTTTGAGGTGCATTATGTTTTTCTTTAATATTCACTAAGACGTGTCGAGACTTTGACTGGAGTCTGCCTGTGGCAAAATGAATGGATGAGACCCGGCTGAGAAATGCACACTTTTGTATGTAAGGTTCCACAATTCACACAATGTCAGGACAAAGATCGACCCAGTAAGTCCACAGAACTCCTTGGCATACATTTGACACTGTGGTGCCATTCGGTTCACGCCTGGCATTCCTAAGAACTTCAAGGTCATGTTTGGTACTTTACTCTGATAACCCACAGGTCTGAAATGTGTTGATCAAAGGAGGCACTGTTAAGAGCTGCCATTGTGGAGCTCCATTATGTTAGGTTAGCATGCTTTGGAAATTTTTTATTTTTTTGCATGAGAATCCTTTGCTATTTTAATGCCATGTGCTCCCATGCCCCGTTTCTTTTTATGAAGATGTGGCTCTTTACATGAGTGTACATATTTTCCTATTCATACTATTTCTATGCTTTTAATTTGTAACACCTGGAACATAGTTAGGCTCATACTAACACGCACACAGTATCTGTTATCTTATTTAGACTTCAGCCTTTTGTGTACAGAGGGACTATTTGTTGTGAGATGTATTTGTTTTGTCAAAAAAAAGTACACAAATTTATAGTGTGACTGATTTGCAGCAGCTGCAGCTTTATGACATCTGAGCTGGTTTATGGCATTCTGCTGCCTGAAGAGATGCTTAATTTATAACTTAAATACATTTTTCTGACTAAACAACTACAACAATTGTGCCTCTACAAAGCCATTATGATTGCAAATGTTTTTTTTATTTTATTTTATTTTTTATATACCATGCATTTTAGGTAGTAAAGGTATGGATAGTTTAACTTAGGTAAAGATATTTCTTACGCTTCTTACCAATAACTATGGTGTACATGCAATGACATTATTTCACACATTACTTGACGAGAATATATTAAGATAATTCTAATCGCAATAATGTGTAAAAACCCGTTTTTCTTAACACTTATTATTCACAGCTGAGAATAAGTTAACACTTGCGGTTCACCGCCGTCACTAAGCAACGCTCATCGGCGTCCTTGACTTCGCAAGGGTTTCTGGGAAAGCGAGGCCTGACAGTTGAACGACCGCCCTTTTTGGAGCAACGAGAGTAGAACAGCGGTACATGCGTCGAGGGAAATATTACCGCAAAACAACTTTCTGAAGCAGCGTAGCCAAACTCGAGGTACGTGTACCGATGGTTTTTAAGGCGTATTTTGACCCGTGGCTGTTATAATTTAGAAATCTGTCTGGGAAAAGTGTATTTTAATGCGCGGTTTGATGACGTAATGTTGATTGTCAAACGCGAAATGGCGAGCGTGCTAGGAGGCCTGTTACCTGCAACACTGTGGCGTTCGGCCATGTTTATTTACTTCATGTTCCCGTGTCGAAACGCTTCCACAGCTGCAGCTACTCGCAGCGAGTTGGCCTTTGGTGATATGTGTTCGTCAGGTGTGTGAAATGACTTAATTTGGTCTTCGGTAGGGGGTAGGTTTGTGTATCTACGGGTTAAGCTAACGCGGAGCTAAGCTAGCAATGCTGTTAAGCTAGCTACGTGAGCCCTGTGTGTCAGATCAAGAGTTGGTATATATCAAACGTTGGATTATACAAAGACTCGCCGTGTTGGGAGACGCTTTTGACATTTTGAAGTGGTGTTTTTTTATGCCTTGCATGGCTTTAAATTATCATTTAATGGTATGCAGTTTACTTTTGAGACTATGTCCAATAAACTTGGTCCCATGATTTCTTCCATGTCTGCTCATCCATGGTGTAATAATCTGCAAAATTACTTTACAGCTATTCTAAATTCAACTATAAAGGACCCATCAAATTAGTGCTTGTTTGAAAATAACTTGTCCAACTTTCTCACTTTGCTATTTTGGACTGTATGAGGTTTAATTGACTCTGTTGCACTGGTTTGTTATTTGAAGTTTCTCAGCCATTGTCAATATACATTTCTTTTCCTTCTCAAAATACTTTTGACAGTGAAGTTCAGCTGTATTAAAACTCTTATTTTTCCACAAGACATCAAAACAGTGTAGAAAAACTATAACCACGATCCAGTGCAATCCAAAATATCATTGCAATGCTTCTCTTCTATAATATTAAGAAATGTATGTGCATCTTCTGTCCTTCCTGCAGAGGGGAATAATGGCGGCGGAGGCGGAGGTGGAGGTGAATGGAGGCTGCGAGTATCCGGCACACTACAAAGTCATGATGGACAAGCTTAATGAACAACGACAGCTGGACCAGTTCACAGACATCACCTTGATTGTGGATGGTGAGCCTGCACACATTGTAGGTCATCTTTACGATATCTTGGTGAAATTTCTCTGCAACACTAATTGCTTCTATGTTTCTTGTCAAATCCTAGGACACCAGTTTAGAGCCCATAAAGCAGTGCTGGCAGCATGCAGTCAGTTTTTTCACAAGTTCTTCCAGGATTTTACTCAGGAGCCTTTGGTGGAGATTGAAGGTGAGCTGCGTTGTATTTCTATTTAGACAAAGAAGCAATCAGAGTGAATTTTCTATGGGTGGGAAAACAATGCTGATGTTAAGATTATTGCCCAAACAGGCTGTTGTTTTATTTTTATCTACAGTTTATACTTCTAAAAATACTTCTTTCATATTAGCCTGACTCATGCTGGATTTTGATCAATGTATAAGAGCTTATAAAACCTAAAAATAATTATCTTTTTTGTTTGTTTGTGACCAAGGTACATTCAAAGCAGACATAACAGAATAAACTTGTGCTCTCTAGTGGACAAACTATGTAATGATGGCACTGTTAAAAAAAAACAAAAAACTGCTGGACATTTGCTCTTCAATTCTGTGCTGCTGCTTCCTGTCTACACTGATACCAATATATTGGTTGATGTTGCAGCTCTGTAGTTTCTTTTCGAACATATCTGGTTGTCTGAATACGAGTGATGTTTGCTGTGATTGCCTCTATTTGCTTGCCTTATTGTTGCTACTTCTAAAACAATCATCACATCTCCAGGTCTTAGCAATGAGAAACTTGATCGAAAGTTTTTAGAAGTGGTCGGAACAGTGACATAAGCGATGAAAATATGATCCAGTTTGCCAAAACTTGAACAGTTTTTGAATACATTTGGTAAATCAAAGTAGAAATTAAACCAGATTTTGTTGTTCATAAAAAAAAACAACTCCATTATTCACAAAAATCACAACTTGGTGTTATATATCAGAACATTTTCAATCTGTTAGTTGGTCTGAGCCACAAACTCGGTGTGTTTTATGTTCCAGATGTGTCCATCTGGGACTGAGACCTACTTACATATTTTCTTTCGTTGCTAGCTTTTATTCACCAGTGCATCTCTGTCACATTTTAACAGGAGTGAGCAACACAGCCTTTCGGCAGCTGATGGAGTTCACGTACACGGCCACGTTAGCTATAGGAGGAGAAGAAGAGGCCTACGATGTCTGGAAGGCTGCTGAATACCTACAAATGCAGGAAGCCATCAAGGCACTCAACAATAAGTGAGAATTTAATTGATGTAGTTCCTGAATGTGCTGGTGTCTTAAGTGTTTAAAGAGCTGGAACAGAATCCTTGGTATAAACAACTTCTCACCAATAGCTCATCTTCTCTTGTAGAATAAATGAAAATTTTTCAACGCCAGGGAGGGGCAAAGGCAAAAAGAGAAAGATTGCTGAGACATCTAATGTGATTACAGAAACCCTACCCTCAGTGGAAGGGGAGCAGGTCAGTATGTTTATTTTGGTCTCACGTATATATTTCCTGATGTTGTTGTTGACATTTCAGTGAACATATGCCTACTACTAAAATTCATTCCTGGTAATATTTTCAACGCCTTGCAGGTGGAGATTGAAGTAATAGGTGAAGGGGCCATTGAGGTGGAGGAGTCGGGACTAGAGGAGGTGGTCGACGCAGCAAAGAACGCTCAGGCAGCATCCGATGACTCCGCTTTGGCTCTTCTTGCTGATATAACAAGTAAATATCAGCAAGGGGAACCAACCCTTCAGGTGATCAAGAAGGGAGGAATTGAAGAGGTAAACTGATTTTCTTAATAATAATTCATCTTTATCTGTCAATATGAGACTTCTGGGTGTGAAGGTGTTAACTCAGTACGTATGTCTGTGTTTGTGTTTAGCAGGAGGTCGTGTATCAGGAGGAAACAGTAACTGCCTCCAAGGTGCTGGAGAATGTCGAGGTTGTCGAGGTCCAGATTTCTCAAGTAGACAACGTGTTTCGCTGCAACAAGTGCGACCGCAGCTTCAAGTTGTACTACCACCTCAAACAGCACTTGAAAACACACCTGGGATCACTGGAGAAGCCCCATGTCTGTAGCCACTGTGGTAAAGCCTACACACGGGAGGGCGCGTTGAAGCAGCACATCAGCACGTTTCATTTTGACGCGGAGGAGCTGTCTCGAAACCAGAAGCCCCAAAAGAAAGTGCACATTTGCGAATACTGTAAGAAGCACTTTGACCACTTTGGACACTTTAAGGAGCACTTGCGGAAACACACTGGTGAGAATGAAAAGCAATGTGATAAGTTCACAAGCTGGTGGCTAATCATGATTCAGCATATTTGTCCAGCAGAGCAGTTACTGTATGTCTCGCATTAAGAAATGTTTCTGTCCCTTTGTGTCCATCTTTAGGTGAAAAACCGTATGAATGTCCAGATTGTCACGAGCGATTTGCAAGAAACAGCACATTGAAGTGCCATATGGCAGCCTGTCAGAATGGGGCTGGAGCCAAGAAGGGGCGCAAGAAGCTGTATGAATGCCAGGTACAGTTTGTCCACAATCACAGCAGCCAAGTGCTCCACTGCCAGGCCAGTGATGATAGTGGATCAAGGATTTTCAGATTAAAAAAAAAAAAGAAGAGGTTTACTGATTTGTTCATTGAATGCAGAGAAACAGAATGTCCAGATTTTCTGATACAGTTGCAAGAAAAAATAAGGGAGCCTTGTGTGTCTTTAAAAATGTGGTCAAAGACATTCACAATGTTGTATTATACGGTCTATACTGAGTACATGATTCAAGCATCCACAGATTGGAAAATGTGTGTGAACCTGTGACTACAACAAAATCTAACTGGAGTCAGGAGTTCTCAAACCTTGAAGCAAGATTGGAAGTGTGGTTAGAGCTCCTTTACTTTATTTTTAAAACCAGTACAAAAACATTGTGAGGTTGCTTTTCACAGATTCACAGAAGAAACATGTGAAGTATTCCTTGAAAAACAGACTTCTCTTTTAGCTTTGATCACAAGAAGTTTGCTTAAGCTGGAAAGGGTTAAAAGGTTCAGCAAATTCATTGTTCCACAGATTAGTTGTCTTTAAATAGAGGCTATTTTGCATGATGGTGATTCTCCCTACACCTGGACAAATTGACTCCAAAAGTACAACACAGACATTAAAAAAAGAAGGTTTAAATGCATAATTGAAGCCATTTAGCATGTCTGTGTATTCGGTGCTGTACACAGATCATGATGCTGAGCATGTGGAGTGGTGTGTTGATGTCAGGACATCACAGAAAAACTCTGTGCCTGAAAACTGCCAAAGCTCAGCAACTTTATTAGCAAAATATTTTGTGGCCTAATTAAACCAAGGTTGAATTGTACAGGAAAAACTCTCCATATGGAATAAAGAGGGCACTGCATGCCCACATGAAAGCAGTGGAGGGGAGCATCGTGACTCAGGGTTGGACAGCTAGTCATCTGTGAGGGGGAAATTCATTTATAAGTTAACAAGTTATCCTTCAGACTAATATCAGGGTGTCTGCTCACTAGAAGTTGGGTGATGCAGCAAAACAGTGACATTGAAAATTGAAGTAAATCACTTCAGAATGATTAACATTTTGGAGTGATCCAGTCAAAGCAAAGACCATAAACCTGTAGTGATGCTGTAGAATGACCTCAATGGAGGAATATGGCAGACTGAAGCAGTTCTCTATGGTAGAATTTTAGGAAAAACGAACAGAACCCATAAAAACAGCCGTAACATACCAACAGCCTTGGATTCTGACTCCGACATGACATTTTATGTCACAATCAGGATAACAGCGTATTATCTGACTGAACAATCCCACAGATTGGCTACGTTCAGACTGCAGGACTTCATGCTCAATGCGGATTTTTTTGTGAAATCTGATTTTTTGCGAGTTCGTTCACATTTCCAGTTAAACACGACTTGTATGTGATCTGCTGTGTGAACTTCATACGACCCAAAAGTGTCCCGCATGCGCAGAAGAGGACACGACGACGTCACACGCAGCGAGCGTGCTCAGTGTTTACAGAAGTAAACATGGATGGTAACGGTGGAGCGTATCTGCCACTCCCCCACCGCTGCCGATGGTGGAAACAGAACTGTGACCGCTAACTAAACTAGCATCAGCAGCCAAGTACTGCTTGTGTGTTCCGACCACTTCCACCCTGTCAAAGCGCTCCCCCGGGGTGGAAGTGCCCCCCGACCGCTCTGAATATTCTGATATTCATCATTAATGGGCCTGAATATCCAGGGACCAGAAAGTGCTCTTCGGACCAGCCTTTCTAGTTATCATAGCAACTATAAACAATAAATATCAACAACAAATGAGCCTTCCAGCATCAAGCCCTCCTTGTATCTCAACCTCCGTCTTGACAATCCGACAGCCTTGCTATCCGACATAAAAGAAGGTTTTACATTTAGTGTCAGATTATCGAGTCATGACTGTCCACTTTCTGTTACTGAAAAGAAAGACAGCTGAATGTTTTGTTGTTTTTTTCCTATGATGATGACCTACTATTTTCTCCACCTTCTCCATCAGGTCTGCAGCAGTGTCTTCAACAGCTGGGACCAGTTCAAAGACCACCTAGTGAGTCACACGGGAGTCAAGCCCAACCACTGCACCCTGTGTGACATGTGGTTCACCCACCCCAAAGAGCTGAAGGCCCACCTCAAAGACGTCCACTCAATCGAGGACAAGTCAACCGAAGAACTGGTCATCACTGACTCCGCCGCAACCACCGCTCTCGCCATAGCAACGCAGAGCATAGAGGGAGCGGAAACGGTGCTGCTGGATGACGGCATTCACGTCGAACACGTCACGGTGGAGCCGGTGGATGTGATGGAGATGGAGGAGACGGCGACAGTGGTGGTGGAGGACGGAGGGGTGGCGGAGATGTGCGAGGAGGACATGGAGAGGTTAAAACAGGCCGGGGTGCAGATCCAGGTGGTGCACGTGACCACGACCGAAGTGGATGGGCAGCAGGTGGTGAACCCTCAGGTGGAAGTCGAGATGGAGGGAGAGGTGGTAAACGTGGAGGAGGCAGAGCAAGCAGTGGCTGTATGAGGATGTGGAAAGGATTGAAACAGACGTCTTATTTTCCATACAGGTCACTGCATGTGGGATACAGCATGTCACCTCAGTTTGTCCTGCTGTCACGTGAAGCGTCTCTCCTCCCACCACCACCACCACCACCCGTCTCTCTTTGAACTCTGAGTTATGGACAGAGGAATGATTTTTTTGCTCTTGTTGCTGTATTTATTTTAAAAAGCCATTTGCCATCATATCCCATATTCTTGGTGTCTTCAGTGCTTCATCAATCCATTTTCACGTGCCGTTTTTTTTTTTTAATGCCCATGTTTTATCTCAGATTCATATTTTTATCCTTTGAACTTGGATCACTCGCCATGACAATTTTACAATGAATGAAATGTTGCCACTCATATAACAGCCGTTGTATGCTGCTGGTGTTTCTCAGTGTTAATTTCGTTGGATGTTTATTTTCATATTGACTTACGGTGTTTTGTTTTTTGTAGGAAAAAAAAAAAAATCAGATATGAAATAAAACTGGTTTCGAGAATGGGCTAGTCTTCCATCCATATATTGGACACGGTGGGGTGTAGATATATTTAGAAATGCTGTTGAATTTCTAATAGCTCCAGAGGATGACTGTGCAGTCTGAGAGAGCGCTGATAGGGATGAACCCACCAAGATTTATCACCCAATTCTACAGTTCCCCTCAGCTTTACAGAACTATGAGGCGTGCTTGGATTCAGGCTCAAACCCAATGTACCCTTCCTGCCGTACCATGACTAATGCATACAAAGCTGCTTGCTTGCTTGCTGGTAAACACAGTGGAGCACTTATCAGCAAAAAGACCCTCGGGAGTTTCTGGAAACCAGAACAGGACCCAAAAAAAAAAGTGAATATTGCACTTGCAGTTGCCAGCTGGCCAGAAACACAACTCCAAGTGATGTGAAAGTTGCTTCATATCTGCTTTTATCTCTATGAGGTGATGGGTATAAACTGTGTGTTGTGTTTCTAGCGCCCCCAGCTGGTTAAAATCAGGTAGAAGTTGGTTTAATACAGAGGAGCTGCAAGGTGGTGCAGTTGGAAGCACTGTTGCCTCGCAGCAAGAAGGTCACCGGGGGCACTGGGATCTTTCTACGTGGAGTTTGCATGTTCTCCCCGTGCAGCGTGGGTTCTCTCCAGGTTCTCCAGCTTCCTCCCACAGTCCAAAAACACATTGAGGTTAATTGGTGATTCTAAATTGTCCGTAGGTGTGAATGTGAGTGTGCTTGGTTGTCTGTCTCTAAGTGTAGCCCTGTGATAGACTGGTTACCTGTCCAGGTGTCCCCTGCCTTCGCCCTGAGTCAGCTGGGATAGACTCCAGACCCCCTAGTGAGGATTAAGTGGTGTATAGATAATGGATGGATGGTTTAATACAGACCCAAACTGACTACATGGCTTAAGACACTGTTTTCATTTGACCCTAACCCTAAGAATTAAGTCATTAATAGTTTGTCGTTTATCAGCTCTCCAAGATCATGACTAATCCAAGGAATCAAAGTCTCTGGGATTTGTTTTTTTTTATTTTAAACAGGATTAGTACAATGGGTAGTTTAATTCTGACTTCTTTCCAGCAGAGGGAACCTATTTGGTGCCTGAAAACTGGTGTATTTACAGAATATTGGTGTAATTTCTCAATGATGCCATTGCACATAAATACAACACTAAATCAACCAAGCTCTATTTGAACCAGGCAGCTAATTATCAGTCTAACTGCAGCCTGCTGATGCTTGTAATTGAAACGACTCGACACTGTAAGGATCTCCCTCTGTAGAATAAAAACAACAACAGCCCCTATAATATGGACAGACGCACATGGAGCTACTGTTTTGATCCTGAGGGAAATTCAACAGCTTAGAAATAAAAGAAAGGGGGGTGAATAAGTAAGTATTAGGACGCATTAACCATTAACCCGCAAACCTCTGACCCCACCTTGACCCTCCCTCTCTGCCCGCTCTGCTAATCGTCTGGCCAGTGCGCGTGGAGCGTGACGGCTCCGGTTACCTGGTGCGCCCCGCCGCCTGCGCACCGCCCGGGACAGCTCCTGTGGTACTGAACGGACGGGCTCACTGGAGTCTCGCTTCTGATTGGTTGCAGGACGCGCGGCGGACCCCCCTCGGCCCGCCTCTGATTGGTCGCTTCACCTGCTCGTTCAGCAGGATTTCCTTCACAACAGACTGAACCGGGGAGCAGCTGCGGCGGAGACGGTGCGCTCTCAATGTCACCGGCACCGGAGAAGATGAATTTTGCAACGACGTCTGTAAACAGTGTCGCCGCGGGCCAGTGAAGATACTCACCCAAGTAAGACCAATGCTCACATGTGTGTTGTTTGCGTGCGGCGGGCTTGTGATGAGAGGCTCTCAGGGATTGGCCTGCTGCAGGGATATTAACTGTTGACTGTCACTGAACAGACAAGCCACTTAACTGATGCGCATCGAGATTAATCTCCTCGAAAGAATGTTTTTGGTGTATTTTATCACAGAAGAAAGTATCTACAGAGATCATTACAAGGATCATTCCGGCAGTGGGCTCTCTGATAATCTGTGAGGCTGCTATAGCCAAGTGTTAATGGATGTAAATTATACCAACATGAGGCTCAGTGTGTGTTTTTTTTCATCATCTCGTGGTCCAAATTCGTTTTATCATCGTGGTATTTTGCTGTGATTGTGATCATAACATTCATCACCTATGGCTGACCTGCCAGTTACGCACGCACATGCACATATCCAGGCAGACTAATTCCTAACTTTGGGGACCCATCATTAGCCTAATTAACTTCTTTTACTATTTCAAGCACACACGGCTCAATGAAACAATGGACAGAGTGTTGGTTTAACACCTGTTGCCCTCTCACTTGGGATTTATTTGTGTTTTTTGACATTGTCAGTCATGTTTTTTTCACATTTTAAACTCCCTTTCTGTCTCGTTCAGATCTAGTAAAGTAGTTTTAGTTTTACATTCTTGCAAATTACATGCAAACTGATTGTGTCAGAGAGAAAAAATTAGTCAAATCCTGGCATGTTGCTGCAAGGAAAGTACACAATTTGAAACTGTTATAATATTAAGACGTGTTATTGTGCTTTCTGTGCTTTCTGAAAGCTAAAATAAATGGATTTAAGTGAATGAGAAGCAGATTTGGATGTAGCAGTTGTCTTAGCGTACATATCTTATTGACCTGAGCCATCTTGATTCCCTATAATGTGTCTTTAATTACACACTAGTGCTTTTTCACCTACTTCAAGAAATAAAAAAAAACCCTGAAAGATGTTAAAAATAAATTAATCTATTCCATTGCAAAAGTAAGTGTGGACCTGGATTGGAAGCTGAATCTATTACCATATTTTTGAAGCCAAAAAAAAACACAAACACAGTCCTTTTGGGGGTTATTTTTATTCCCACCTGAATGAAATGTGTTCTTAATTTTTATTCTTTTGATGGTCAATCAACGGGAGAACATGAAACGTTGTGCTTTTTTAATTTTCTTCCTTTGATCCGAGCCTTCTTTGATGTGCTGATGGTGAAGAACGTGCAGACTCAGACAGCTCTTTAAAGAAATAAATGACCGAACACAGCGTTTAGATTGGAACCGCCAGATGCAGGATTTACAGTGTCGATGCGTCACCCTTCTGTTATTGTGCTCCCTGCATGCACTGTCATGGCAACTTTGTTAAGGCCTCGGAGACACATCCAGCGTCTCTTTGGTGCTCACCGAGATGGACTTGAGTCTATACGTGTGATCTGTATGGCCAGCTTTGAGAATGAGTGTTTTTCTTTTTTACTCAACAGTAACAAAAGAAGATTAACACTGAGCAACACATAAAAAGATCAAACAAAATAGGAGTGTAGTGTCGTGCATTTAGCATCATTTTCAGAAGTTAGATGTTTTGTCCAAGTTGGTTCATGAGTTTCAGTGCATCCATAGAATCCTGTGCAGCTTTGCTTGGGACTGTGTCAGGGGGGAAGGGATTTAGAGGTCAGTGTGTGTTTTTTTGAGGGGGAAATGTGAAATATTTGGCCCATAGATTCCAGAGAGGCCTGCCTCTCTGTTCCTAGGGCCCATAGTCTTCATTGTTGCGGCTCTTTCACTGTCGAGCTTTTTATTCTTGTCAGCTGTGCGTCTCAATTAACACACTGGGGAGCTTTGTGCTGGAGAGAGCTCACTGTCTGCATGTGTATGCATTTACGCAAGCGTGGCGGTGCAGGTTTCTATCTGAGGAAAAGGCCGTGCGTGTAGGCGCGTGCGGCGTCTTTGTGCCTCAATGCAAAAAAAAAAAAAGGCGACGATAAGGAGAGAATGGGATCCAAGCAATGAGGAAATGGATGTAAAAAAAAAGTGAGTTTTGTCATAGCTGGTGAAGTGAGAAGCAGCTCCTCTGTGCTCTCACCTTATGAAGCTGAAGACACAAACAGGCATTTTTTCTTTTTCTTTTTTTTGTGAACGGAGCTGCAGCAGATGGAAAGAGTGAGTAATTCTCGCTCCACAGCTGCTGTGGATGGGCTCTTGTGTTTTCCGTTGTTGGAGCGTGTGAAGTGGCTGCTGATGCTAGCAGTGTGATCAGCAGCAGAGTGCACCAGGCAAACCCTTCTTCTTGCCTTTAGGGATCCTCAGACAAATGATTGAGTGTCTGGTGAGTAAGGACTCACACTTGGCAAAGCTGATTGTGTTTGCTGATGAAGGGCTGCTTGTTTGCAGACTCATAGGCTTGTTTGTGATAAGCAGCATAATCATATGCAGTGTTTTTTTTTTTGTTTTTTTTTAGCTCTACATCTGTCTGCAAATCAAACTTAAAACAACAGAGATTAGTGGAATGGATGGTTGTCTTCAATGTAATGTTGATTTTCATTCAGACTTTTAATCATTTTGTACCAATTAAATCATCCTGAAGTCAGAAAAATGTTGAAATAAAAAAAAATGTCCATAAAATCTGCAATTTCCAAATAGAGCAGCAACAATTAACTGATTAATTGACTAGTTGTCAACTATTTAATTAGTCATTAACTGTGAACAGCTACAACATTTTGATTCTAGCTTTAGAAATTGGAAGATTTTCTGGTTTCTTTACTCCTCTTTGACAGTAAACTCTTTGGATTGTGGACGAAACAAGACATTTGAGAGTTTCCTTAATTGAGTAAATAATCAAATCAGATTGATGAAAGTAATCATTAGTTGTTTCTAAGAGTTGGTGGTAAAAGAAACAGTCTGTATGATGAGGTAAAGTATAAAACCAAAACCACAAAAGATGGAGACACATTGCAAAGTTTTCTTGATGCTTCCATGTTGTCTTTCTCAGGATCTTCTTTAAGTTTCTGATACACCCCCTCAGTAGCTTTGCTTATACCCCTGAAGGGCATTACAGCTCAAGTGATTAAGGCTGTTCACTTGATTTAATTAGCAACCCAAAGAAGAAGAAGAAAAAAGATTGTAACTAAAGAAAAGACATTTGATTATTTTTCATATCAGACAACTTCAGCTTGAATTCACAATCAGACAGGGAGAGGCAAATAGCCATATGGTTCTGGGGTCTGTAATTCTTCCACCAGTGCACCGTTTCGCTCTGTATTTGTGCATATATCGGTGTGTTTATTTACCCTTTAGTCCGCTCGTGCGCGTAATTACCGTGGGCACTCTGGGGCTCAACGCAGCACGATATGACTGTAAATAAAACGCTGTGTGCTCTCGTCTCTGGCCCGCGGGTTCAGTTAATGCCTAATCCTCAGCCTGACAGGAAAGACAAGCAAACGTGCTTGGTCAGTGTCCATCACCAAGCAACCAGGTAGATTTGTTATCCAGTGGAAACAAAGGATAAAGCACTCCGAGTAACTCTACTCATCTATAGACCCTCTTTGGAGACGCGCTCAAATTGGACCTATAGATCCGCCTTTGCTCAACAGATGTTCTCTTTGCTGTTAATGCAATTCTATTATATTTGTAAGTTTTATGTTTTTGCATGAAAGTTAATTTAGTTACAGGATTCAGTGTTTGAGTCAATAACGGCCATGCTCCAAGACTTATTCATCATTCGCTATCCGTTCAAGAATACTTTAAGGTGAACATTTTCCTGACGATTGTGCCCCAGTACTCATCATCGATCTGTTTATCTCATGCACCACTGTCCTTTAGTTCTTTTTATTTACACACATAAAAGGCTGGTATTCAGCGTGTGTTGCTTTGTGCTGTAAAGTGGAGGCCTCTCCTCTCCGAGCAAGTCCTTTTAGGCTGCCTGAGATCAATGCGTAGATATTCATGGTGCGACGAGCAGGAAGGTGTTTGAAGGCTGGAAGACTCTAGGCCTCACAAAAGAGAGCTGCTTTGATTTTCCCGGTTGAGGCTGCGACACGGATTCATTCATCTTAACGTGGAGACAAACGAGAGGACGCCTTGGAAAGCAGCGTGTTGCACAAGGTTCTTACCTCAGTGAGTTATGTCATGAAAAACCACTCAGTCAGCTTATAATGGCGACAATAAAACTGAACTTTATTCCTCTGGACACCCTGTTGGAGTTACTGAATTCATGTATTCAATACTGAAGTAAACCTATTTTCTCACATCAGCTATAACTTATCTCAATAATGTAATTATAGCGATATGTTGCCTCCTAACCTAATTGTAGAAACATGTTGTACTAGTTTATAGGACATTTTCTTGATGTAAACAAATCACATGAAAGAAATGAGACAGCCATGTGTGTCTATGTCCTAATGATAGTGATATATATCTTTAAAAATAGGTTACAAATATTTAGTTACTAGTACTGTCATTTTTATTTTTTAATCAAAAATTGCTTAAACAGGAGTGAATAATGCTTTTGTTGGGGACTAGTCTTCGCTGCTGATCATGGTGTTCTGCATCAACATGATGGTAACATAATGGGATTAAATCATAATTAAATTGTGTTGCGCAGGATCTTCTTAGCAGGGGGACATAAACGGCCTGTGCAAAGTTCTGGACAACAACAGAAGACTTCTTATGAGGCTATGAGAGGCAATGATTGTAGGTGGTATCAATTCATTCAATAGTTTCGGGCTTTTTGGCTCCAACCTTTGAGCGCAAATACTCTTCAGTGGCCAGTTTGTTAAAGGAAAAGGAGCAATTCCAAAGAGGTAGATTTAAATCCTGTGGAGACGGTGAACTGTATGTAGTTTGGGTCATGTATACTGTACATGTATACTGTTGTTTTCTTTCTTTTTCTGTAAGGTTGAATTTACCAAAGCTGGTTGAAAGCATAAAGTTTGCTATTATTTTGTTAAATAGACAATAATTGAGAAATTCAATCAATATACAGCGTCATTTTTAAAACCTTTAACAAAATATATTTGCCAAATATGATTAAAGACATCATGTGGAATTAAATGTCATAATATATTTATCTTATTTGACAGATTTCTATTTATAGTTACAGAAAATATTTCAGTCAAAAGAAAACTAACCATTTTTGTGAAACAATCATTCGCTTTCACCTCAGATTCACCTCCGCTTTCCCCTCTCACGGGACGTTGTTAGAGCTTTGTTCGCGGAGAGCTGTGCAATTATCACCTAATTATGCTCTCATAAACTCACCCACGTCAAACACACACACACACACACAGGGGAGCGGCAGGCGTCACTCATGCGCTGCGTTTCAAATGGTAAAGTTTGGTTATTCAGGTATTTCAGATTGTGAGCGTCTTCTTACTGATGAGGAGCTCTGATTTGTTTATTCTGGCTCTCATGGCAACCTGTGCTTGGAGCCAGGCAGTAAATTAAGTAAGAATTAGAATACGGGTTAGTGGACACTCAAGCAGATGCTGCACAGGCACACTTGTACTGACTTGTGCACGCAGACTCTCCCACATGAAAGCTGGAAATACATGTACACTGAAAGTTGTTAGAAAGGATTTACATTATATTATATTTACATCTGCGTCTCTCTCTTGTGCTTTATTCCAGGTTGTGTCTCGCTAATCACCCCACGGCTGCACCCTGACACTATCATCTGTTCAACCTCTTTCCTCCAACCGCCCCCATCCAGCTCCTCTTCCCTCCTCCTCACGCCGTGGCCTATTTATACCCAGGAGACTCAAAAGAGTCCATTAAAGCTCCGCCGACCTCTTCAGCGGGAGACAACAGTGAGCATGAATCCGATAACACAAGGTTTATCTGATCTTTACGCTCGCCGCCTTTCCTGCAGCAGGCGCCGGTGAGGAAAACTAAAAAACGTACTTAAAGTGCAAAAAGGCAACAGCTGCTTCCAACTTCAGATGACAAACTGACCCTGATAGTCCACCAGGGTGAGGACAGTTTGCAGCAGGACACTTTGGATGCAGGATGAGCTTGGACCCACGGACTTGATGTTCTGATTTAGCTGAAATACAGTAAATAATATTGCCATTTCAGTTGTCTAAATGGCTGCAGTATTCGGACAAGGACGCTGAAATTACCTTTTAAATGGCTCACATGTCTGAAGGTAAGTAAAGTTTTTTTTTGTACATTTGCTTACATGTACTTTGATGTATTGTGGTTATCTATACGTGCAAGTATTCTAGCTTTTGTGTGCACAAGCTAGGAAGATTGTTTTAGCTTTTAACAGTCCTACAGCAAACATGTGTTACAAAACCAGGTATTGATGATCTGATATCAACGGACAAATAAAGATAAAAGAAATATTTTAGTGGGCCCTAAACACTTTTGTCGTACCTTGCCTAAATCTATCCCTAATGCTGTTTTCTTTCCTCTTTTTTATGCCGATTAGTGTTAGTTTAACGGGGTAGATTTTAGACACTTGCATAACAGTAGGAACATCAGTCATTGTGCAGCAGAACAACACATGCTGCACTTTTTACATAAGTGCTGTTGAGTAGTGTCTCAAAAATATCATAAGAAACTAACCAAAACAATGGATTTTTTTTCTTTTTGTGCTTGCAGTCCTGCATCCCTCCCAGCTATGAGCTAATCCAATCCCCACCCTGGGCATCCCCTGCAGGATGACTGCTGTCTGCCCCTCTGACAGCAGCCCAGAAGGGGCTGAAGCTGGGGCTGGGGCAGCAGGCTCGAGGGTGTCGGGGGCAGCGTGCACCGCTGGGACCAGCTCAGCCTCTGGGGCCGAGACTGGGGAGTCTAATGGAGACTCTGTCGGAGGCACGGGCGTGGGTGCTGGCGGCCAAAGGTTCACCCGCTGGAGCCACCAGGACAGCTCGGACATCAACACAGATGACGAGGGCGCCACCATCCGTCGCCTCACTCCGCTGGAGAGGCTGAACCTGGACATGTGTCAGGACGAAAGGTAGGGTTCAAGAGAGGAAGCAGAAATCTTTGTGGTCATTTCTTCTGATTTAGACTTTCCAGTTGGTGTATTTCTTTCTGTGGTGGTGCCACAGGAGTATGTCACAAAGAATATTAGTGTCAACATCTTCTGTTGTGTAATCTTCTGCAGGGTTGTACGTGAACTAACAGTGGGCAGAAGAATCGGCTTCTACAAAATTCGTGGAGAGATCGGGTGTGGAAATTTCTCCCATGTCAAGTTAGGAATTCATGCGCTCACCAAAGGTAAAAACACAACTGTATGTATGGCACATGCACAGAGGCAAACAAAAACTCCAGCTAAGCATAGATTGCATACTGACATTACGAAGCAAATACATAGTATGTTGTTGAATTAAAGGAACTCTAAAATAAAATAAATTAATTAAAACAAAAAACAGGTAAACTCGCATATAGTCTGGCTTCCTGTTAGATTGAAGTAATAAGTCGGCTGATGAGCTGTTTCCATCAATGGGGAACAACGCTAAAAGTGTGTCCTTATAGCGATTCACTAACAAGGCGATGTGTGCCTGGCCAGGGGGCTGATTCAGCCACAAAGAGACAGACTGTCTGCTGCCCTTGAACAGATGGATTGATTAGAGATCTCCAGTTTCCTTAGCGACGGCTAAAATTGCTGCATGCCTCATCAAAGAGAGAGAGAGGGAAATGGGTGTGTGGCCGTATGTGTGTGTGCATGCGCTGTGCTTTAAGGTTTGCATGTTTTGTTTTTACTGTATTCGGGCCTTTTTTGTTCAATGTGCATCTGTGTGTGTGTGTGTGTGTGTGTGTGTGTGCATGTCAGCGGTATCATTTCATCAAAAACAATATGAGCTCCAATGCATTTTGAATGCTGCTATTGAAAGCTATGTCAAAGCTGAAAGGGAGTCTTATACCGGCCTTAATAATGCATACCGAAGCACAATCAGATATCTCAACACCGTTTTGCTACTTAAGAACTTTTCTGTATTCAGTTACCTGAGGTCTATTTTACGTATGAATCATTTAAAGGAATACAGCCAAGGTTCGACGTCGACGTATGCAACGTATTTACATTTTTCCAAATTTGTGCTTCCAAAATTGAGTATATTTGTAAAATTGCACCATGCTTTCCTCACATTTTTAAAGGTGGGAGTGAAATGAGATACCAGAACAAGCCATCTAACTGAGAACACCGTGTTCCTGTCATATTTAATCTTCGCCCCGACTCGATCCTCCGTGTCTGCTCAGAGTTTTAGTCACTGCTCTAGGACAAAAAAAAAAAAGAGCAGTTTTCCCTGAATTACAAAAGCAAATTTCCTTTTAGATAGGGATAAAAGTGAGAATTGACCCCCTGGGAGAACATAATCAAGAAAATTGGTTTCTGAGTGCAGCTCATCCTCCATCAAATTAACCGGAGCAGAGCATCAGTCTTGGTCACTTCAGGGGCAATTCTGCGTCTGCGAGGTGGAACCAGGCTCACTATGTCTACCCGCTATCCACAAAAGATTTATGTAACAACTGATAAATGGTTTGTTAAGCAAGTGATGTTGTTTAAGACAACTTTACCACAACTGGGAGGCACTTGTATCTCCATTTTAACAAATCAGCTTTTTAGATATTCCTTTCCCAGCTAAGTTTCTGTTGAAATGAGACAATCTGAAGTGGCTCTGTTGCATCATGCGTCACTGACCATGAACTTTTTCCTTCTATGAACTTCCTTGGCATCGCCAGACAAAGTGGCCATAAAGATCTTAGACAAAACCAAGCTTGATCAGAAGACCCAGAGGCTGCTGTCCAGAGAGATCTCTAGCATGGAGAAGCTACATCATCCCAACATCATACGCCTCTATGAGGTCAGACTCCTAACTGTGAAATCTACCTCATCCTTTTGTGCCATCACTTAATCCAGTTGGCAGTCACTCTGTTTCTGAGAAATACATTCTGACACTTACTTTTGGTGCTTTCTGTCTTTTCTCCTGTAGGTGGTGGAGACGTTGTCGCGGCTACACCTGGTGTTGGAGTACGCAGGAGGAGGGGAGCTCTACACCAAGATCACTACAGAAGGAAAACTTTCTGACACTGATAGCAAGATTGTCTTTGCTCAGATCCTCTCTGCTGTCAAACACATGGTCAGTGCATCAAGTTTATATCGTAGTGTTATGTCAAAGTAAAATAACAGTAGACAAAATCAGTCTAAATCAAATAAGTTAATTCGAATATCACCCATCTATCCATTATCTATACACCACTTAATCCTCACTAGGGTCATGGGGGGCTGGAGTCTATCCCAGCTGACTCAGGGTGAAGGCAGGTTCACCTGGACAGGTAACCAGTCTATCACAGGGCTACACTTAGAGACAGACAACCAAGCACACTCACATTCACACCTACGGACAATTTAGAATCACCAATTAACCTCAACATGTTTTTGGACTGTGTGGGAGGAAGCCGGAGAACCCGGAGAGAACCCACTCTGCACTGGGAGAACAAACACAGAAAGATCCTGGTGCCCCATATTAACCATAAAAAATAAAACTTATGCCGTCTCCTGTGCAGTTCCATCTATAGCATCAGTTACACTGTGCTGCTACAGTGACCCAGATAAACCATGACGCTCATTAAAATTTGATCCAATCTTCTAACCCAATTAATGTCAAAGACATTTTCTGTCAGTCCAGACTTTTTGCACACGACTGGTTTTGATCACTTTTAACCTGCATTTTCACTCTTTATGTGTGTTAACTGCTTCGGCACTCATGCTTTGTCCAAGTATGATCGGCACAACAGAACAATAAAGTAAGACTTCGAACTCATCAGTATGATAAAGCAGTGGTGAAGATTATTCAAAACTGTAGGTATAATATAGCAGAGTATGATAACAGATTTAACGAAATATATAAATATATGACATCATTTCAAGGCTGTATGAGGAAGGTACATGAAAACTGTTGTAAAAATAATAATAGCAGCAAGTTTCACACAGGACATTTGGAGTTGCTTCTTCACTCTTGTATCACTACTGGAAACACTCCACCTGGTTGAGGCGCGGCACCACTGGCAAGCTGTAAATTCTGTAAACAACCACCTCCCGTATTTGCTCATAGGCTCAATTGGACTTTACATTGATTTTGTACTTGCAGGGCAGAGTAAAGTCCATCTCACATCCGGTCTGACCGATTTCCATGTTTGCGTTCTCCAGCAAATGTCGAGACAAGCCCGGGCCTGCGGTGCACATGTCAAAACAGCTAAACTGAGATAGATCAATGAGATTTTAGTAGCTATTGATGCGGCAGTCGTGGGGTTCGTCTCTTATCCTTGTTAGACATGTTGTAAGACATAAAAGTGCTTGTTTTGTGTTGGATATGAATGGGACACATCTAAATGAAGTAAAAATAAGCAACACCTATTTTTGATCGGACTTCAAGCTTCCGTAGCCAGCTTCACAGAAACCTACTAGAGTGAACCACTTGGATTGAACTGCTAACACAGAATGTCTTAACGGTGTTGTATTTACATGCAGTGGATCCTCTATCAATATAATCATGGTTAAAGCAGTGAATTAGGTGGCTGGTGCGTACATTATTCAGCTTCTCCTTGTTCTCCCACAGCATGAAAACAACATCATCCACCGTGACTTGAAGGCAGAAAACGTCTTCTACACCAGCAGCTCCTGTGTCAAGGTGGGCGACTTTGGATTTAGCACGCTGAGCCGCCGAGACGAGACACTCAACACGTTCTGCGGCTCTCCACCTTACGCCGCGCCCGAGCTCTTCCGGGACGAGCACTATGTTGGCATCTTTGTCGACATCTGGGCCCTGGGGGTGATGCTGTTCTTTATGGTGACGGGCACCATGCCGTTCAGGGCCGACACTGTGGCCAAACTGAAGCGATGCATCATGGAGGGCGCCTACGTCCTGCCCACTTGGGTGCCTGAGGCGTGCCAGAGGCTGATCAGGGGTATCCTGCAGCCCATACCATCTGACCGCTGCACAGTGGAACAGATGATGGGCTGCGAGTGGCTGCTCCCGGTGGACTTCCCTCGTGCCTTGGAGCCCTTTAAACTAGACCCGTCCCACCTGGCGGAGAGCGATCCATCCGAACTTGTCGAAGAAGAGATGGAGGTAAAGGCAGCGCTGGAGACACTAGGAATCAGCTCAGAACACATCCTTAATAATCAGGGGAAAGACTGCAGGAGCTCCATCACCGGGGTCTATCGGATCCTGCTGCACCGGGCTCACAGGAGGCGGGTTGTGGAGAGCAAACCTGTGGTCGCGCAGGTAGCGGGACCGACTACAACGAGTAAAAAGGAACGACTAAAAGTCTACCGTAGTTTACGACACACGTCTAAACTGTGTGTGATTCTGTGACAAAATTCTCTGCTTTGCTCCAGAAATTCATCGACTTCATAGTCTGGGGTGGGATTGCATGGATTCCATTAGAAATTCCAAAAAGGTCCTTCTCTAGTAGAAATTGACATCATGGTATATAGCAACACTCAGCTCCTGGAGTCTGGCACTCCTTACTTTACTGTTTCTATTCTAGTAAGTGAAATTAGTCTCTGTAAGAATGTTTCTGCCAGTAAATCATGATTGTCTTGAGACTGGGACACGCAGTTCACACGAAATTGGGGAATGCTCTTAAATATGATTTCTTTAGGTTAACATGTTGATGATGTTGTGCGGGTCATGCGGGCCAGACAATTAAAGCCTGGTCTATGTTCTGTTGTGTTGTAACAACGAACCCTACGAGAATCAATGTAGCATAAATTTCAAGGGAAAAGCTCCACAACATTATGCTGAGGCGATAAAGTGATGAAACATGCAGCCAGTACATGAAACGTGGTGTCTTTAATGTTTAATTGCACTTTTCTTTGATGCCTTAGTCTTTTTTTTTTTTTTTTTATCATGTCATGAAATCAGACAGATTGGTTTCATTCTACGTCTTAATGTTTGTGACGATGATATAGAGACTTCTTTACATCTTATGTGACGTGTCTCTATGAGATGTTCCTTTAGGCTGGTCGACTTCAGTAACCTCCCTGTTTTCCCTATACAGGCTGAAAAGGCCAGCAAATGACATTAAGCTATAAATACCAAGATACCAATCATCAGAGTTACTAGTTCCTGTGGAAAAATCATTTTAAAGTTTTGACTGAGACCATTTCAGTACACGTTTTGGTCCTTAGGTTTTTAATCATATGATGCCATGTCCATGCTAATGTGCTGATTGAAATAAATCTAAATTTGAAACACATCTGTGTTTACGACTTATGATGCTTTTATGTTGGTGTGTATGTTTTATACTTTTAACACTGTATACACAAAATATACAAGAGCAATTATTTGTTGCATTGTTTAAGATAAGAAAAACTCATCTTAAAGGAATTTATTGTGCCAGATATTGCTCTGAAAACAAAACTACACAGCGTGAGAAAAGAAAGGCAATGAGATATAAGTAGGATATTTGCACTGTGGGAGGAAGCTCGAGCACCCAGTCAGAACCAGGGATCTTCCAGCTGTAAGGCGACAGTGCTAACCACTGCCCAAGTAGGATACATTCCTGGGGGAGAGAAAAGAAGTCAGATAGATAGATAGATAGATGGATAGATGGATAGATAGACATTATTGTCTGTCCCAAATAGTGACAGTAATTCCCCTTTCCTCCTCCAACAATAAAAATACAACACATATGAAAACACACTTAAGACACAAGCTCACAAAGCACAGAAGTCTAAAAGAAATGTTAAAAAGAAATAGCAGCTGGTAAAATGTACTGTTCAGTGTCTTATGTCATATTGTTCAGGGTGGTTATTGCAGTGGGAATATTGATGTTTTTGGGGACTTTGGAGGGGGTATGAGAATGCTGATGAAATGTACATGAAATGGGAGTATTGCAAATAAAAATGTGCACATTTTTAGCTCTGATTTGCAGCAACAAAAAAAAAAAAAAAGTTGCATAATGATGGCAATTTATTAAATAGTGTTATATCTTTTTTACAATATGATTATTTATTTATTTATTTTCTAATGTCAATAGATGTACATAAATCAAATAATGTCTTTAACTTACTGCATCGTTATCCTATGACACTCTGTGGTCAATGTACTCAATTTCCCAGAACCCCCCGAGAAGAGCACGTACTCATATCCGTCTTTACGTGATGACGCAATTTTTGCCTTGTTGGAAGGTGGTTTCGGGAGGAAGCGCTGTGACGGCAGCAGGCGAAGAAAAGCCGAGTAGAGAACCCGAGACGCATCCGGACGCACTCACTCGAATGGTATTTTATCTCCTGTCATCGAAAGGTAAGAAAACTACACGTCGACATTAACTGCTATTACTGTTTTTAACGTGTTTTTAACAACACGAGGGACCACGCCCTCAACACATCTCGGTTCTGACAGGATTTGTGAGGTTAGCTAGCTGACTCCTCGGTGTTGGCCTAAGACGTCTCCTGCTCTCTGCCGTTGGAATCAATAATGCAGCTGCATTTTTTTTTTTTAAAGCCTGTTAATATGAAAAGCTCATGAATGACTTTGCCTGCACCTGCTTTAACTAGGCCATTTCGTCTTTAAACGGTTATGCTGCAACACAATACTCTGTTTGTTTAATTACAATAAAGACAGCCTGCATCCGGGCTGCAGCTCTGGTGGTTTTAGTAAAACCTCAGCACACAATGCCACATAGAAATAGTGTTTTCCTGATATTGAAGGAAGGTTATGCATCTTATTTGTTTTGACACTTGATCTTGTACTCGGATCCCGTGACAAAGGCATGGTGGGCGGGGCTCAGTATACGATGAGGTCATGATAGAGCCTCGGTGGTGCTGATGCAACACGGAGCTACGTGTGATTAAACCATTGATGGGGGGTCGTGGAATGCGTCTTGCTCAGTTATTTGCTGATGTTGCTTATCGCAGCATAAATATTATTGCTGTTAGTGCACAATTAAAACCGTCCTCCACGTGCGCTGCAGCCTCCACATGCGGGCCAAGACACACAATAGAGCAGCATCCAGTGAATGAGGGTGCTCTGTAGGATGCTGGATGCTGTCTGGACCATCACTCCATTTACTCCACCACGATTTATTCCTACCGTTTCACTGCGAAACAAATGATTTACTGACTATCTTTGGTTAATATCTAAAATCTCAGTTGAATATGCTTTTACCCTTCTTTAGAAATTTTCTACTTGTCAGCATTTATTGTGAAGCGCCAAAACACCACATGTAATTTCTCAAATGTGAAAAAGTACTCTGTCAAATGTTTATATTATTTTGGGTATGACTACTGCCACCTTTCCACACTTTTTATTCAAAGGTGGGTCATGTGATATGACCACTGTAATGTCCTGCAGGTTTGATGTTAGGCCTGCACAATATTGGAAAAAAAAAACTGACAATGGGGTATTTTGTTCTTCAGTGATATAAGGAAAAAAGGGAATTTTCACAAAATGATTTCAGTCATTTGGAAAGAATGAATCATTCTAGAAGGTGATTGTGTAGAGGAGTACATGTGCTTTTTTCTTCTTCTTTTCTTTCCCTTTTTAAGCTACAAAAAAACCCATTTGACTGTTTGGAATCTTTTCAACACTGAAAAGGGCATCTGGAATTTTTTTTTATTTTATTTTATTTTTTGCTTTGGATGGCTTTTACACCTGGATTTGTGCTCATCATACAGTATGGAGTAGTGAGAGTGCCAAATTACAAAAATAAATCAATAAAAGAATAAAAAATAAAAGTGGAAATGAAAAGAAGAATAAATAATTGAATAAAAGAATAAAAGAATAAATGTGGAAATGAAAAGAAGAATAAATATAATAATTATTAATTTAATAATATTTTTTAAATTTATTTTTAATTTATTTTTTAATCATTTTTTCAGTTTTATTTTTTTATTATTTTTTAAGTTATTTTTTAAAATTATTTTTCTTTTTTTTCTTTTAAAGTGACATCTAATTTAAAGCAACATTTAAAAGGAAATATGTGCAGAAAAAGGTGAGCAGTAGGAATGTCGCTGTGCGCACCTTTGTTTATTCTTCCTTTTATTTCCACATTTATTTTTTTTATTGATTTATTTTAGTAATTTGGCACTCTCACTACTCCATAATACAGAGCTTTGTGGTACCAGTTTAAATGATAAATTAGTCCTTGTGTGGCGTCAGCAATAACCAGACACGGCCAACAGAGCACGTGTTGTTGGTGAACATCGTCCTTTCTGAAATATTTCTGTATAGCTGGCTTTGCGTAACTTTTCAATGTTTCCCTTGTTCCTCATTCCTTTTGCTGTGTGCTTGTGGAGCCTGCATGCCAACAAATGCTCTCGTGTGAAACCCAGCGTATCCAAGAACCATTAAATAGGAGAGACTCATGTTGTATCTGACAGACAACTTCTTGTAGGTCAGTCATGGAAAATGACAACCGTGTGAATTCCCCTTTTGTGTCGAGCAGAAAAAAAGAAGTTGCAGCACGATGCGTTTGATATACTTCACATTGCACTTCCTACAACGTGGCTGTTGCACATGTACACATCATCATCGGGGTGTAAACGAACAATGCAGAGGGATTCATTGTTCATTTCAATAAGCTAGAACCATCTAATCAGTTCAGTCCATTGCTTCGTTTAACTGTCAGGCTGAAACTAACAATTATTTTCATCAGCTGCAACAACATCAGTCTCTCTTTCTTTATTTTTTAATTTTAATTGCAACTTCCCAGAGCCCAATGCGACATCTTTAAATTACTTGTTTTATCCAAGAAACAGTCCAAAATCCAAAATACTGATACCAGTAAACTATATCATTAAATTGTGATACTCAACATTTCAGCTAGTGACATTTGACTTGTGTATATATTAACCCAGCTGTGGTCTGTGTGCTGCTGTTTTCCTCCAGATGTCAGTCACTGAGGACCTTCCAGACATGGACGGAGCAGACCTCTTAGGGCTGCTGTTCCACGGTGGAGAGGATGGATCTACTGAGCCCTTTTTTCCTGATGAGAACGGGCTCATCGAATCCTGGCTGTCTGAACAAGATGTAAGACAGAAAAACTAAACTTTGAATAAATCGGATTGCTCAGAACTTTAAAAAAAGGGTTTTTTTAAAATTTGTTTTTCTTATTACATACCAAACAAACTGCATGATCACTGCAAAGCTTAAATCATACTAATGACTTACTTTTGTGTGTGTGTGTGAATTAAGTGTAACGCGGCTTTTTGCCTCCCAGATGCTGACAGGTGTGGACACTGAAGACTTCCTGTCCAGCTTGTTGGATGGAGAGGACAACATGGAGGCCATCTGTCCCTCTCATTCCCCCCTGGGCAGCGACAGCGGCATTTCTGACGACAGCAGCACTGGGGCTGGAAACAACAATCTCCTGGGATGCCCGAGTCCTCATGGCAGCGATAGCGACGTCGTGCCCAGTCCCGGCTATTCCCAGCCCAGCCCGGTGCACTCTGACCCTCCCCTGACCTGTGGGGAGCTGCAGACGGAGAGCCTCGAGGCCTTGACCGTGCAGGCAGATCACAGCTACTCGCTGCTGCAGAGCGGTGGGGGCGATATGGACATGCTGCAGAGTGTGAGAGCAGAGAAGCTCGATACCGACGTCTTCATTGATCTGGGTACGAGATGTTGAAGAACTCTCTCATTATGTTTTTTTTTAGAATGTGGATTTGGGATTAGTATGGAACCAATAGAGACACTTGTGAGAAAATCAGATTTGTTTGTTTTAAATGAATACTTTTCTTGTGACAGATGACCTGGTGACTGAGGAAATGGAGGAGGACGACATCACCAGTGAGCTGCCCTGCACTTTGGCCATAGAGGACTTGACAGAAGATTCAGCACAGCCCAACAAAATGGACCAGGTCAGTTTCTCTCACTATTATAGCCAGACAATAGAGATTGTGTCAGTGTTGTTGTATATTGAGAAGACGGTCGGTGATGCATTATATACATGAGGGCTTTTTGCTCCACAGAAAACCCCCAAAATTTTGAAATCTTTGTCTCTTTTTCTTCCCTATAGTTCCAGTTCAAAGAGATCGTTCTCACTGAGGAGGAGAAGCGGCTTTTGACAAAAGAGGGAGTAACCATCCCCACGCACATGCCTCTCACAAAGGTAATCTTTACTTTACATTTGTATTTACTTAAACTGATGGCTTTGTGTCAACCGTAAACACTGCAACTCACTGGATTCAAGCAACTGCAAAACATAATTTGAACCCATTCTGCTGATATATTTAAATTATTGTTACTAATTTTGGTAACAAATGTACAATAATCTTGAACAGTTTTTTACAGTTTGATCATGTGATTGTTTTACATCTAAGTGCACTAGTCATTTAGTTTCTTAGCTCTTTAATGCAGCCTTTTCTGGATAAATATAAATATTTTCCCGTCGGGTCTACCTGTTTTGTCCACGTCGTGATCCGTCATGTCAACACTGTGGTAAAAGCCTGCTCTACTTTGTGTCACAGGCGGAGGAGAGGACTTTGAAAAGGGTCAGAAGGAAGATCCGCAACAAGCAGTCCGCTCAGGAGAGCCGCAAGAAGAAGAAGGTGTACGTCGACGGATTGGAAAACAGGTGAGATGAAGAGGCCAGAACTGATACAAATGAGAAATAAACTCCCTTAAAATAACTGCACAGGTTGGGTAACTTTCTGCACACGTACCCTGGATGGTCACTAACATTAGCTCCACCTCTAGTCAACTCAGCATTCAGATTCTATTAAGACAAGATCGTGATCATGATTAACTATAACTTAGAACAAATCTGTTTATTTTAGTGCCTGGAAATGATGTTATTAGTTGGCAGAATGCGATTATGCTCATAGGCCAGCTGCTGTAACTTCAGGACGATGTCTGCTACTTCTCTTGTTTAGTGACTTGACAGTTGGCTAAAACCTGGGTTGCGTCTATTTATTGCTATTTTCTTAATTATCAGTGAAACAATTCCTGCTGTAATGTCCTACAGCTCGAGGTGACATCATCAGATGTCTTGTGTTGTCTGATCAACAGCCTAAAGCCCCCAAATATTCACGTATGACAAATAAAAGCATCAAATTCCCATTCTGGCATTGTTGCTCGAAATTAGTTGCAGATTCATTTTCTCTCTATTTGACTTGTTGAAACTCAGTCACTATATATAAGAACTTTAGCTACTGAAACTTTGGCAATGGAAAAGCTGTAGAGGAACTAATTAAACTTCCCTGTTAACGTCCCTGTGACCAACTTTTATGGTCAAATATCATACATCGGAGGAAAATGTACTAATGACTGAATCGATGTCTGCCACAGGGTTGCCATCTGCACTGCACACAATCTGGACCTACAGAAGAAAGTCCAGATGCTTCAGAAACAGAACATGTAAGACGTCTGAGATGTTCTGTGTTCATCTGCAGCAACACATATCGAGTCATTTTCTCTAAATCTGCTGACTTCTGTTAACAGAAATGTGTCATCTTGTTCCTTATAGGTCTTTGATAGAGCAACTGAGGAAACTGCAGTCTATAGTGAAGATGTCGACCATGAAGGCCAGCACCACCAGCACCTGTGTTATGGTAAATGTGACAGTTTTAGCTTTTAGTTCTCATCGTAAGTGTTAAACTCTGTGTCCTCACTTTCTCATTGTTTCTTTTTTTTGCCTTCAGGTGTTCCTGCTGTCTTTCTGTCTCATCATCTTCCCGTCAGTCAATCCATTTGGTAGAAAATCTGACCAGAAGGAACTCTACACGCCCTCATCCGGTGAGTTATCTCAAAGCACACAGGAGCTGTCTTGTGTATAGAGTTTTTTATGTATTTATTTATATGATCTATCATGTTGACCAAGAACAAATGAATTACTTTTTCAACAATGTGACTTTTGTTGGCTTTGCAGTCGTCTCCCGGACCTTGCGCTCGCTGCCAGACAGCACAGACGCCGTATCCTACCAGGAGAACGAGGAGCCGGAGCTTCTCTTAGTGTCCCAAGTAGAGGTGGAGAACGTTAAAAGCATGTTCGCGGGCGGCCAGAACAACCACACCCCCGACTACCAAAGGGTGGAGCAACCCGACTCGGAATCCGGCATCAACAGCAACTCTTCGGCAGACTTCCCCAGTCCTGCTCAGGCGGCGGAGATGCCGTCGGCCGGCGGCGTCGGGGCGTTACCGGAAGGATCCATGGATGCTGTAGTGGCATCCGCTGTGGCGTACGAGGTCACGGGATCCAAGGAAAACTGGATAGACCGGAACCCCCCCTCTGTAATATTACAGCAGCACCGCTCTGATGAGATGTAGTAGGGACGTGTTGATCGTTTTAACCAGCAGAGGGAGCCAAATTCTTTATGTTTTAGGTACAAGAGGGAAGCTTAAACTTGAAAAAGGAGGAAGGGAAAAATACCATCACTTATCCATATATAGTATCATCCTGTTTGTCCCTGCTTTTTCCCCTTTAGCAGCTTTCTGCCGTTCTGCAGTAACTTTATTTGCACTTTGTTCCGTTTTCCTTGCTTCAGAGGGCAAAAAGAGAGATTTATTTCAGCAGTATACACAACTTAAAGGACAAGATAATGCAGCTATGAGCCATTCTGGTAGATTCATCATAGCAGCTGGACTTGCTTGAGTTCCTTGAAGACGTTTCATCCAAGAGGCTTCATCAGTTCTGACTGACCAGTTGGGAGTTCCAGATACTTATATCCTAAAGGAGACATTAACACCTGAGTTTCGGTTTCAATTGGGGGTAGTTACTCCTCCCCCTCGTTATGTGAGTCGTTAGTGCTCCCCCTGCCACAAAGGGGTTCGTTAGGATCGTGGTTTCATCTTAACTCAAGCAAGTCCAGTTGCTTTGATTAATCTACCAGAATAACCGTGACCTGGATGATTGAGAATCTTCACAGACAAGCAGTGAGACATACATGCCTGCCCTGCTGGAGGCCACATGCTACTGAGAGAGCACTTACAGCTCTTAATGTGTTGTACAACATGGTGCAGACGACCAAAATTTGTAAATTTAACGGCACCGCCACAGGACCATTCACCATGAACTGGATTACTTCAGTAGAACTACACCGCGATGGCATTATTATTTATCACCAAATCTCGGGGCAAGCTTCTCGTGACCACAGTTTGTTGGTCGAACGCTGCTCCTGAACGACTCCCCAAAATCAAAAGCCACAGTAAATGATCATATGCATAAGTAGTACTGCTAAATAGTCGGCAACATCTATCGCGTAGTAGAAGATAGGCTGCTTGATTCTCATGAAGCTTGATGAGAGTGGTTGCTGACCACTGTAACGCTTAAGCCATTGCGGGACATTTGGCCATTTAGAAGACTTGTAAAGTTTGTTAGTATTTCCCTTGTAACAAGGGTATCCACGCTCCTTTTTCATTTTGGAATGCTTTGTTTTTATGTTGTACAGTGAAGCAAGACAAAAAAATATAGAACAAGACTAAACCCTTGACTCTGCCATTGTTAGCTGACACCAGTCTACCCCCCCGCACTCACTTCTTTTACAGCTCCATGGGACAGTTCTTACCTTTATAAACATGTCTGATTCTACCTTTAGCACCTGCGCGCACAGAACAAGGGGTTTGATATATTTGCTCGGTAAACTGTTTTGCAGTTAAATATAGTCAAAAATGTAATGACCTGTCTTCTCAGTGAAGCATTTTTGTTATTTTATGTGATTTATTTTTGTTTTCCATTTTGTTACTGTCGGAATCTAAATGGTATTGGAACTACTACTTTTTTTGTTGTAATTGACCGGAAATGAGATTTTAAGTGTTAATCATGTTGAACAAATGCACTGACATTTGTCGTAGTCCAAGAATGGAATGTAAATATATTATATGATTGTAGCTCTTTCTGTACATTTGAACTCTTTATGTATAAGACATGTCTGGACATCTATAATAATAAACTTTTTATATATCAGAATTAATCTTGACTCTGTGTGATTGATTAGAGCAGGGGTGTCCAATCCTGGTCCTCGAGGGCCACAGTCCTGCATGTTTTAGATGTTTCCCCTCTTCCAATACAGCTGATTCAAATGATCAGGATCGTTATCAGGCTTCTGCAGAGCTTGATGATGAGCTGATGGTTTGAATCAGGTGTGTTGGAAGAAGGAAACATCTAAAACAGGGGTGTCGAACTCCGGTCCTCGAGGGCCACAATCCTGCATGTTTTAGATGCTTCCCTCTTCCAACACACCTGATTCAAATGATCAGCTCATCATCAAGCTCTGCAGAACCCTGATAACGATCCTGATCATTTGAATCAGGTGTGTTGGAAGAAGAAACATTTAAAACATGCAGGACTGTGGCCCTCGAGGACCAGAATTGGACACCTCTGGATTAGGGAGTAGAAGAATATATACAATCGTACCCGACATTTATTTTACTCTGTTTTTGAACCTTTAGGAGGCTGCCAGTCACTAATGCACCTACATAAGGTTGCATAACTTCTCAGCTTTCATAATCCTTTTCCAGAAATCCTGTAACTGAGCAGTGACACTTCACTGCCGTATTCCCAGACAAATTAGTCCTTGCGATTTTTCCGGTACAAACAACGTCTGAAATCAGTTTACATGTTCTCACTGCTGCAGTTTTGAGTCAGGTGCTTTGCTTACATTTCATGTGGGAAGAGCTGTTTTTTTTTAACCTCCAATGGGATTTTCACAGCTAGTCTGGGATTTCCCCCCATGTCTTACTGCTTACTGCATTCAGACTTGTTTGTTGTTTATCTGACAAGCATATGAAACAGTCCATTGGATTTTTATATGTGATATAACCTGTAAGTGTGAGTAGTTTGTACAGGGGCATTGTGAGGTTAAACAAGGTAGATTAGATCCTACCAGGTTACATAAATACATACAAACTAGATTTGTTTGTCACTCACAAATCCAACGGCAAACAATATTGGTCTGACTTCCTCAGCTGGGGAAGGGGGGGAATAAACTGGTGAGTCACAAGTGTGAGGTTGGAATCATCATGACTCATGAGCTTATTCAACATGTTGAGGCAAGTTGTAAGTAGGGAGAAGTTCACCCTCTCTGCGTGTCCAGCAGGTGGTGGTGGTGCATCAGACTTCTGCCACTGAACGCTGTGTTGTGCAGGAGGAGTCTGGGCTGTAGATGGCATAGATTAGGTTAAAGGTCATCCTGTTATTATTGTAACACCTTCATTAGCATTAAGACAAATGTCAAAGTGAATTGACTCATCATTTACTAAGAAACCTGTGTAGAAAACAATCATTAAGAGAATGCAACATTCTTGGAATTGGGTTTTTTGGCGCCACACAGGTGCAGCATTTATCAAACTTTCTTAAGGACACAAAAAATTGTTTAAATATTTAGTTTCAGACTTTTTTTTTTCAAGCTCCAACCAGTTATGCATGCTCCGTATTATTGCTCATGCTATACTTGACATATATGTTCAAGTTAAGGCAGGACCAGCCACCCAGTGCGTAAACACGCACAGCCTTCGGCATCTGTCTGAAAAGGAGAATGATGTTGAATGTAAACACATGCTTATATCCCCTGATAAGATAAACTGGCCTGAAAAGACGACTGGCCTCGGCACGTGGCGCATCTGTTGGGCATCTGCCGCAGGGCACTGAATGAATTGGGGCTATAAAGAGTGCGGGGCGCACGCAGGACGCACGTACATACACATGCACAGCATCACATCCCCCCACGGCGCCATGGAAGCAGGTGGAGGACGTATTGTTGTGATGCAAAGTCTTTTTTTTTTAATCCCCCCACCTCTCCGTGGAGAAACGACACGCGTCGAGACAGACTGGCAATTAAGCTTTCCTTTTCAAGGGGCGAACAAAAAACTGGCGTGTGCCGGCCACAAGCTGTTTCCTCCGAAAGAAGCCGGGGTCAGGGATAGGCTTGCAGATCCAGTGGATTCTGGGTCAGTCTGCGGGTTCTGGATTACACCTGTGGAAAGGACAGTTCTGTAACTCCTGTGCAGACTGTTAACAAGACACGTTGAGTAACAGGTTGGTCAGTGTGTGCGCGCATGCAGGTGCACTAAGTGTTTATTAAGGGCAAAGGAGGGCTGAGCTGGGAAAGTTCGGATGTGGCTATATTTATCTTCCCAGTGATTCCCCGGGCTGGGGAAGTCCATGCTCGAGAGATTGTTCCAGAATTGATCATGGAATGGAGTGATTTCGCTACTGTTTTCACTGCTGCCCTCCCACAGTAAAGATTCCTTTGGGTGAATCTGACTGCAGTGGTACCTGGATGGGCTGATATGCGTCCTGCTGGTGGAAAAACATGATGCCTGTTTAACCCACAAACACACCTAAACATCTGCAGACAATCCAAACATTAATGCCCCCCCAGTTTATTCTGTAATACCACATAGGATCTCTATGTTTGTCATTTAAATTGGGGTTATAAACATATATAATCGAACCCACACGCATCAGTAGCAGCCAGGGTGTTCGCAATGACTGTGAAAGTCCATCGTAAACAGGACTTTTAGTTTTTTGTACATTGTGGTGATGTTGGATGTTGACAAGAAAACGAAGCACTGGAGGTGGGTGGGGGGGATTTCTTGAAAGGTTGTAATCTCGCCCCACGTGGGGTTGTCAACAAGCTGAGCCAAACCGTTCGGGGACTTTTGCTTTCCTCGCCCCGGCTGCTCCGAGCCAATGTTAGGAGGCAGGAGCGGAAAAGACCGCCCCTTGCCGAGAAACTACGCTGCGCTGCTATAAAACCACCCACAGGCTGTTCCGAGCTCAGAATAACACGAGAGCCGCTACACTGAGAACAACACAGCCTCTTTCTTACCTCGCTCAACGCCGATCGCGCTTGGATTATAACTATGACTCTGGAAGAGATCCGCGGACAAGAGAACACAATGGAAAACGTTGATAGGTAAATATTTTTTACGCACGGATACAGCTTTGTTTAAGCGCTTGGTTGGATGCTTTACGCTTGCCTTTTTTCCAATCAGTGTGCTGATGATGTGTCTTTTCTTCTTTGTCAAGGGTGCAAAGTGCAGGCGCAGCCCTGGAGGAGCTGCTGGTCGCTGCCAAGAAGCAGGACTACCTGACAGTCGGAGTTTACGAATCTGCCAAAGTCATGAATGTGTAAGTATTGCAATGCGTAAAAGAAATGTTCAGTCGCAAATTTTGAAAATCTGGAGCTCGATCACATGAGAGCAGTGGCTGACCGGCTTCCCCTTCTTGTCCCACAGTGACCCAGACAGCGTGGCATTCTGCATTCTCGCCACGGATGAGGAGTACGAGTGCGACATCGCCCTCCAGATCCACTTCACCCTCATCCAGGCTTTCTGCTTCGACAACGACATCAACGTGGTGCGCGTCAACGACATCGAGCGCCTGGCCGACCTCGTGGGTGCAGACGAGACCGGCGAGCCCAAGGACGCGCACTGCATTCTTGTCACGGTACGTTCCCACTCAGGCAGGAGCTGGCAGCCGGTGAATCATGCATGCATCACTCTGCTGTCTGAATTCTCTGCACACGTTGCCAAGTCACTGCATGACTGCATAAGTGATGTGAGTCTAAATATCACTGTTTTTTTTGTTCTTCAGAGCCCCAGTGCAAACCCATGGAAAGACCCTGCTCTGGACAAGCTGAGCCTGTTCTGTGAGGAGAGCCGCAGCGTCTACGACTGGGTGCCCACCATCACACTCCCAG